GCCTGGGACCAAACCTCACTCATATAACACCATCTGTGAGGGAATTACTACACCACATGTCCCTCATAACACCATATGTGAGGGAATTGCTACACCACGTCAAGTCCCTCATCACACCATCTGTGAGGGAATTACTACACCACGTGAGGACCCTCATAACACCATCTGTGAAGGAATTACTACACCACGTGAGACCCCTCATAACACCATCTGTGAGGTAATTACACCACGTGAGGTCCCTCATAACACCATCTGTGAGGGAATTACCACACCACGTCAGGTCCCTAATAACACCATCTGTGAGGGAATTACTACACCACGTGAGGACCCTCATAACACCATCTGTGAGGTAATTACACCACGTGAGGTCCCCCATAACACCATCTGTGAGGGAATTACTACACCACGTCAGGTCCCCCCTAACACCATCTGCGAGGGAATTACTACACCACGTCAGGTCCCTCATAACACCATCTGAGGGAAACACTACATCACGTGAGGTCCCTCCTAACACCATCTGGGAGGGAGTTACTACACTACGTGTTTGCTGTTCAACACGTACAATCCTACATTAATCTGTATGTTCACTGTATGTTCTTTCACCTTTCTCTAATGAAGGCTTTTGTTAAACCACCAATGTATGTAATAAGTCATTTATGTCCAATGTATATTTTCAGCCTTCGGGCTGCAGAACTTTTTCAATAAACCGTGAATTATTATTATTATTATTATTACATAAACAATCATTATTACGCTTATACTCACACACACTACAAGTAAACGTACATAACTACTCCCCCCCCCTCCTCCCTCTCTGTTTCACCTTCCCCACTCCGTCCCCCCACCTTCTCTCCCCCTTCTTTGCTACTACCCCTGCTAGATAGATAAACAGGTAGATAGATAGAAACTTGGATATGTAGACGGTGTAAATAGATGTGTGTGTGTGTGTGTGTGTATGTGTCTTCTTGTGAGTGTGTCTGTACTACTGTGTAAAATAATAATAATAATAATATACGGTTTATTAATAGAGTTGCAGCCGGTGGCTGAAAATATACAGACTTACATTAGATTTAGACATAATGATTAATACGCATTGAATACATTTACAGGGCTGTACAGTACATAAGTCAGGAGTTGTTTATTATTTTAACAATAGATGGGATGGTGCTGTTCTTATATCTATCGGTGCGGGGTCTTATGGGCTGAATTTTGTTGTAGTGGCGGACTGCACGAGTTGGGTGGGGAGCTGCAGGTGGCAGGAGGTGGCGATGGCGAGGGTGGTGCTGTAGTCCACGGCCAAACCTTTCCAGTGCGTGGTGGTGGAGGTCACTGAGGGATGGCACTTCCAGGGTGGAGAGAGCGTTGGTGTAGCCGGAGTATTCTGCGCCGAGCATGATTCTGCAGGCCCTTTTCTGTACCTTCTCTAGCTGACGTTGTTGGGTGGAGTTGAGAGAAGACGACCAGGCTGGTGACGCATACGTTAGTTTGGGGAGAATAAAGGCATTGTAGATGGTCCTCAGCTCTGGCGTGGGTGTCCCAAGTGACCTGAGTCTTCGTAGCATGTAGAGACGGTACGAGGCTGCCTTGACTGTGTTATTTACATGGACCTTCCAGTTAAGTTTGTTGTCTATGGTTACACCCAGGAGTTTGGCAGACTGCACCAGCTGGAGAGGATGGGCACCCACTGTGACTTATGTGATTTAGGCATAATAATATGCGTTCAATACATTTACAGGGCTGTACAGTACATAAATCAGGAGTTGTTTATTATTTTAACAATAGATGGGATGGTGCTGTTCTTATATCTATCAGTGCGGGCTCTTATGGGCTGAATTTTGTTGTAGTGGCGGACTGCGCGAGGTGGGCGGGGAACTGCAGGTGGCAGGAGGTGGCGATGACGAGGATGGTGCAGTAGTCCACTACCAAACCCTGCTAGTGCGTGGTAGTGGTGGTGGTCACTGAGTCTGGGGTAGGTCGGTAAGTCCTGGTGGCAACTGGCGGTGGTGAGAAGGTGAGGGTAGGTGACCACAGCAGGGACAGGTGGGGGCTGCGTCCCATGGGAGGCAGCGGCTGGGGGGGAAGGTAGTGGTTACCGAGATCAGTCATAATGAGGTCAAGGGTGGCATTGCCATGTGTGGGCGGAAAGTCTACTATTTGTGTAAGGTGGAGGTGTTGGGTGATGTCACTGATGTCTAACTCATGTGTGTGTGTGTGTGTGTGTGTGTGTGAAAATCTATGAAAAACACATATGATTACCGTAACTTCCCATAGATTAAGTAATACAATATCCATTAATTCACAGAAATACACGGAATATAATATACACTTGGTACAGGAAATAATACTAATGTACGTGAATAAATAGAAATAATAATAATTAATAATAATTAACGGTTTATTGAAAGAGCTTGGCAGCCAGAAGGCTGAAAATATACAGTTACATATTTGGGGAATGGGTTCCTAATTACAAATAATATACAAGTAACATAAGTGATACAAATAAGATATATAATAACTAGATGGGGAAAAGCTCAAACTACAGTGCATTTCAACATAATGACAGTGCAAGAAGTAGTAGTTACTGGGAGTGAATACACTGGTTTATTACAAGTTATTGATAATTTTTACAATGGTTGGGACTGGGCTGTTCTTATAGCGATCAGTTCAAGGTTTGTGTGTGTGTGTGTGTGTGCTCCCGGCAGTGATGAGAGGTAAGCGGAATTCTACCACCACGAAAATTTTTGTCTATACCTCGACCAAAGAATTTCTTGGTCTCACTAACTAAAGAACGGTTTAATTCTCTGTTCCCTTGTTTAAATATAATACGTACTGTATATTAACGAGTCTATGTATATATTACAGGTCTCATTATTATATCGATATTACATGATAAGTTTCAACATTACATCCATTCACTCTGATACGGTAATAATACGAATCAACGCACTACGCAGCCTAGCCTGACAAGCGTCGATTGTTGCAAGCTGCCGGGAAAAATGTCGCTCGATTATGCAGTATAAGAGATAAATATATTATAATTTTACTGTACAATTTATCACTGCGGGACTAATCTCCACAGGTTGAAGACTAATAAATTAAAATAAGACATGAGAAGGTACTTGGAGATTTAATTGTAGTGATTACTTGCAAAAAAAAAAACCTGACAATGCGCAGGATGAGAAGAGAAATCGTACCAAGGCATCATCGACTCTCTCTCTATTATTGAAAAAAAACACGTATTGAAGAGACGGAACCTCATGATAGCCCTGAGGCTTCTGCGTGGTGATCCTGATAACATTGTTTCCTTAAAATTGCTAGAATGTATGAACCATGGGACTACTGAGTCTAAATGGATCCATACTACAGCTGCACATATGAAGATGTTTGGACTAGACCACCTGTACAAAGTTGAGACACAACAGCGCTTCCTGCCACCCTGGCGGACAGTTCCCTTCGATATCACAATACCGACGTATCCGCCTAAAAAATAAATTATACAAAGCATTTATCTCCAACACACTGCCAAATTGAGAGCTCTTGAACACATACACACTCTACAGACTGATGATAATATCACACAGACCATCTACACTGATGGATCTCTAAACACCGCCTGTGGGAGGGCTGGAAGTGCTATTGTTGTGACTCAACCTGACGGTAATATAATTGAGAAAGGAGTTAGAATTAACAACTGGGCATCCACTCTACAAACTGAATTAGTTGCCATACTCACAGCTATTAAATTCATTGAAACCACTGTTACTGACAGTCTCATCATCACTGACTCTCTATCCTCACTACTTGCCCTTGGTACCCTCGACTCAGGTTGTCACGATCTTGTCTCTGAAGCCAGACACAAATATGCGTGCCTTGTTGACCGGGGTGTCAGGGTCAAACTGTTGTGGATCCCCTCTCACATAGGCCTCATAAAACATGACAGAGTTGATGCCCTCGCCAAACTCGCGTCTAACAAAGACACCGTTGAATACAATTTGGGTCTGTCAAAAAGAACCCTTAAAACTGTAATTAGGAAAGAACTTATTGATGAGTTTGACGCAAGTAGACAAGTGCAAACAGGCACTAGTCGATCCATAGGTTACCATGATGAGATGTATCAAGTGAAACATGTATATGGAGCAAGTAACAAGATCACTAGATTACAAGATGTTGTAACCGCTAGATTAAGGTTAGGATATAAGTACCTTTGGCAGTATGTTCCTCAAGCAGATGTAAACAAAACTAAATGTAAAGTATGTGGCCATACATATGGCCACACACTTGAACACTACGTCCTCGACTGTGTGAAGATAGAACCTTTTAGGGACAGGTCCAAGCACACTGTGTGTGAAATGGCACAACACCTCATCTCTAATGGCAAGATAGCCGACATATTAAGATTGTATCCACTTTTTTGCACTTAGTAACTATATCAGTTCTCATGTACAGAACCAAATACGCAATGTGCTTGAATACCTCCCACGTAAATGTGAATAACAAAGTGTGAGGCCAGACATACTGCCTCACACGCCTGTTCTCACGCATTTGTGAATAAGTTACCCTTTATGTATAGAACTAAACAAATAATGTAAATGAAATACTGTGTAACTTTCAGTGCCATAATATCCTGACAACGGGGGTTAATTATTATGACCCTTTGTAAACCCTACTCTGTAATCCTTTTGCGCTACCGCTCACAGGATGAGTGTGGGGTGCACAATAAAGTAGCCGCTGCAAGCGGCAAAATCAAGGATACTGTATAGTGTTTGTTTACGAGTGAGTGACTTAGGAGTGACGATCGACGTTTTTGTGTTGAGGAACGAACAAATAAAATAAGTTAACCCATAGTCTTGTGTATGTTTCTTTTACTTTTGTTTTGAGAGATAATATACCATTATTTTAAAGATAACTTACTGTATTCACTATTATTTAAAGATGAAGTATAGCCAACAACACCAAACTAAATCCTTCTCATTATCTCATTTTCTCTCTAACAATTCCAGAGCTGGAATAAGCCGTGAGGACAGAAGTGCTCCATGGGACAGGACAGAAATTAAACTCTTACTGGGATACGGTATACTTCCATCTACTTTCTGCTGTGTAAACCAATATGATGAAAGGACAGTGTAGCCCCTGTACTCTCCCTAAAGGATGGTGGCAGCCTGTCATCGTTATCCTCACTCCTCTTATCCTCTCTCTCCTCCCCTTCCTCTACCCCTCCACCGTGAGTAAACTCTAACCTACAGTATATAATATTTTGTTGTCGTTTCCTTTATACTCCTTCAGATGTGAAAAGTTGGTTTGGGTACGAGGTGGTGCTGGTCAATGGGTGTATCTTAAGTTACTAAGTGTTTTGTGTGGGTGTAGGTGGGTGTATCTTGATTAATTACATGTTCTGTGTAGGTGTTGGTGGGTAACTTAATTAGCACCTCTGTTAGGCAGGTGTAGCCGAATTAACAGGTGTAAGAGTGGGTGTGAATTAATTAGCACCTCTGTTAGGCCTATCTGAGTAAGTCTACCTGGCCCTCGTAGAAACTGTTTTAAATAGATAAAATGACCTGTCTTTCCCCCTCCCTCTTCTTATTCCGGTTTATGCACTTCCTCCTCTTCCCTTTTCCTCCTTTATCTCTTCTTGCTTTTCCTCCTTTATTTTATTTTCTTCCTACTCCTCTTTCTTCTCCCCCGTAACATACTTCCTCTTCCCATCAAGAGTTACCATAACCCATCCTCCTCTTCTTCTCCCCTCCTCCTATTCTTCCCCCCCCCTCTTCTTCCTTCGTCTCGTCTTCACTCCTCTTCCTCCTCCAAAAAACACTATCTTCCCATCAAGATTTACCATAACCAATCCTACTCCTCCTCTCTCCTGCTCTCTCTATCTCTCTCTCTCCTCCACCTACAGGAGTCAAGATGCGCCTACGTGATCATAGTTATGGCAGTGTACTGGATAACGGAGGCGCTACCGTTGGCCGTTACTGCACTCGTACCGATCTTCGCCTTCCCGCTGTTAGGGGTGTTGTCGACGGCTGCTGTGTGTCAGGTCTACCTCAAGGACACCAACTTTATGTTTATGGGCGGACTTATCATGGCTGTCGCTGTCGAGCATTGTAACCTACACAAGAGGATTGCCTTGTTCGTCATTCTTCATGTTGGTAAGTACACATACACACATACTGTACACACAAACACACATGCTACGGTGGTACGTAGTCACATACGCACTATGTTGCCACGTATACTTACACCAATGGTACGTACAACACTCCCACACTATGTACTGTACGTACATGCATACACCCCGTGAGCGGAAAATGTCGCGCTGCAGTGAGTCTTATTTCAGTCAGTCCAATGTAAAGTTAAAATTGTGTGTTCAATATTAAATAAATTCAAGGGTAAGAATCATACAGTATATATATATATATATATATATATATATATATATATATATATATATATATATATATATATATATATATATATATATATACTGTATATACAAACTGGATATGAGATAAGTTAGTTTGTACGTCAGCCAACAAAACCCATGGCCTGAGATGCGGCAGTGAGTAATTACGTTCGTGGGAAATTATTCAGCACAATAGACACAACTTCCCTGGTTTAACGTCCTTGAAAATATTAACTATATTATATCATCGAATTTTTCGTATTCTTGTAATTCTTTAACTGTTCATAGACGATAAAACAATATTTAATAAAGGGTATACTCTGAAGGGAGGGACTAAGTGGTTGTTATCAGTCGTTTCGTCGTCATGGCGGGAGGCACAGAAAACCTGTATTCAGATTTTTTTATATATCAACAAAATATTACCCTTGAGAATATTATACTGTATATTGTATTATCACACTAACGATAAAGAACACCATTTACAGTATATAAACAATGTATTATACACTATATGGGTCACGGGAGCATTTGGCACCCCTGCTTATTTTACCTGATGATTTAACACCCAAACGCATACTTAACCTCACCTAACTAACTTAAACCCAATTCTAACCTAACCCAGCCTAACCTAATCTAACCTGACCTAATCCAGCCTAATCCTAATTTAACCTAACCCTAATATAACCTAACCCAACCTAACCTAACCTAATCCACCTAACTTAACCTAACCTCTCCTGTCCTATACACAGGCACCGTTAGGGTGTTTAATTATCAGTTAAAATAAGCTGGGGAGCTAATCTTCAGGTGATCCTACTGTTCATATGTGAATGATGGTTTAGTTAATAATTCGATTGGTTGTCTGTATTGAGTTGGTACCATGGCCACGTGTCGAGGTACCATGGCCACGTGTCGAGGTATGACATGGCCACGTGTCGAGGTATGACATGGCCACGTGTCGAGGTACCATGGCCACGTGTCGAGGTATGACATGGCCACGTGTCGAGGTATGACATGGCCACGTGTCGAGGTACCAAGGCCACGTCTCGAGTGAACCAGTGGGCAGGCAGGGTGTAGGCTGTGGATCAATGGCATACAAACATCCCCCCAACACGACACAACACTGGCCTCCAACACGACACAACACTGGGCCCCAACACCTACACAACACTTCCTCCCCAACACAACACACCCCCTCCCCAACAAATTACTACAATGCATCAACAGTATGTCTGCTGCATGGTGCCCCCCCTTCCCTAAACTGGTACCCTGGTTTCATAAAGACAGTAGGTATGACCCAGAGAGTGATGGCTTTAGCAAGGTGATTAAACTAGTCGTTGTAATTGAACTAGAACGTGTTTTGGTTGACTTAAATAGAATATGTTCTCCAGTATATGAATAAAAATAATATCACGGGTGTTATGGACTATATAAAGGAAAATATTTGTGGTACGAGATGTTATTGTTGTCAGAATTTGTCTCAATGTCAGGGTGCGGTGGCTGAGTGGATAAGATGCTCGCCTCCTGTCCTATGAGTCGTTGGTTCGTAGGTTTTCACGCCCAGGGCTTCCTTAGTGAACTCAGTTGTAAGGTACCTAAGTTTATCGTTCAGAATGTGAAGACTGTCGGGAGCAGTGCTGCATACTTAAGGCTTATCTTCTCGCATAGATGATTAACTATTCATTGAGCTCAGTATTTAAAACTAATAACAATGTCTTGTCTATAGATAAACAGATATCTTTAATTTTACAGTACATCACATTACCTGATATAGGAATATAATGTTCGCCCATACGATCTTTTTCCTGCGTCCTACCAGTCAGCCAATCAGACGCCGTTGTTCTCTTCCACCATACCAGCTGCCGAAGCAGTAGCTGGGACCATTGTTTACCCCTCGCGTCGCGTGTTGTTCACCCGCCACATCCAAGGTCTTTCCCATGACCGCCGCCAACCACGACACAGATCATATACAGTACCTCAGATACATTATCAACTAATCATTATTCAAAGAAGAAAGTCTTTTTTTTTACTCAACTTTACGGATTATGAAATATTTTTGAGATTGTGGAGGTGGTGGTTGGTTAATACTGGCGCCATTGTTGGTCTTTATGACGTCATGACGTGCAGTGTTGACTGTGGCGTCATGGGGTGAATTTTATACTGTGACGTCACGAGGTATATTACTGACTGATTTCATGGTTATATTTATAAAAAAACATCACTTTTTTGTCAAGCTTTTCCCTCTTTTAAAAGCTCTACTGTGTCACATACGCTCTTTATTAAGCTTCCTCCTCTGTGGTAGTTTTACGCACTCAAGAGCTCAGAACACATTAAACTCAATAATCTCTTAGTAGGTAAAGCTGAAGTCCAAGATGGCGTCAGAATTTAGCGAGATTACTGAACAGACAAACTGATAAGTGGTGATATGGGTGAAGTCTCTCTAGGTCGTCCTTGGCTCAGCTGAAGGGTGACCATTCATCCTTCATTATGCTGTGCGAATTAAGCTTGTTTTAAAAAAAAATCATATCACCTGAAGATTAACCACCCTAACTTATTTTACCTAACCTACCCTAACCTAACCCAAGCTAGCCTCTGCATGAGCGAGAAAGATTTTTTTTTTTTTACAGGATGACCCACATCAGGGCTTGGGGACAAAACTATGACAATAAAAATAATAATAATAATAATAATAATAATAATAATAATAATAATAATAATAATAATAGTAATAATAGTAATAATAATAATAATAGTAATAATAATAATAGTAATAATAATAATAATAATAATAATAATAATAATAATAATAATAGTAATAATAATAGTAATAATAATAATAATAATAATAATAATAATAATAATAATAGTAATAATAATAATAGTAATAATAATAATAATAATAATAATAGTAGTAATAATAATAATAATAATAAAGGCCTATAAATAATTACACAAATTTAAAAAATAATCATTAGTGAGAAACGATATAAGTATGTTGCGTTGTCAAAGCAAGAGAAACAATTGAGACCCTGCAATTGTGTGTATGAGGTAGAAAGTCAGCTCAGCAACCTGGGACTTGGTCACAATTTTCGTGATACCATATGGCTGGAGGGTCTACCATTAGACAACACATTATGCTTCCAATATCTTCCCAGGCGGTAGTACCTCCCTGTTTGGTGGCTGTGAATGCCACACACACACTACAAGGTGAACTCTCCATTGGGATTCCCAGTTTATTCGCTTGTCATGGCCGTCTGTTTACGATTTTGTATTGTTATTTTACCTGATGATTAAACACACTAACATTACTTGAGGTTGGTGGGGGGTTAGGTTAGCACTGGGGTGTTTAATCTTAAGGTGAGATAAAGTCGAGAGGGGTAACTAATCTTCATGAGGACTGTATATCGTCGCATGGTGAAAGATGTTTATCCAGTGATTTGAGAATTATCGTGGCTCTGGCAGCTTTAGTGGTAGTACGCAAGTAGGTTTGATAATTACTTGCCTCAGTAAGACATGGTCAGCGCAGTTCTACACCTCTATGTAATATCTAACCAAATCTAGCATAACTTAACCTAACTAAATCTAACTTAACGTTTAAATTAACTAAACCTAACCTAACCAATCTTCAGAAGGGGTATTAGAAATAAACTGTCCAGGCTAAAGGTCCATAAGAGTCCCGAACCTGACATGGTGCATCCTAGAGTGCTAAGAGAGTTGTGCAACGAGCTTGACGAGCCCCTGAAGATCCTGTTCTGTAAATGCCTGGATGAACAAATGGTCCCCAGTGAATGGAAAGTGGCTTATGTGAGTCCTATCTTCAAGAAGGGCAATCGTCACTCCACGAACAACTATAGACCGGTGAAGCCTGACCAGCATAATATGTAAAGTGCTTGAGAGTATTATCAGTAGATGCTGCAATGGAACATCTAATACGAAACAACCTTGTAAAAGATTGCCAACACGGTTTTATGCCGGGGCGCTCTTGCTTAACACAATTGCTCAAGGTATTGGACATTTGGACCCATATTCTGGAACGGGGTGGTAATATCGACAATATATGCCTAGATTTTGCCAAGGCTTTCGACAGTGTACCCCACGAAAGGCTGAAAATCAAACTGGAAGGGTACGGAATTCGGGGAAATGTCCTAGCGTGGATAGAAGACTTTCTGCATGACCGCAAGCAGTGTGTGGTGATTACTGGCACGAAATCGTCATCTGTACCTGTTTGTTTCATAAATGACATGCCTGACGTTGTACACTCCTCCATACAAATGTTTGCCGATGACGCCAAGTTATTTCGGGAAATTAAGAACCAAGCGGACTGTGAAGAGCTGCAGAAGGACCTCTGTGGGCTCCAGGAATGGTCGAAGAAATGGCTGCTGAGATTCAATGTCACGAAGTGTAAGAGGATGCACCTGGGGCGTACCAACGTTAAGGAGGCGTATCATATGTCCCAATGGGATGAAGAAACTGCATTAGTTGAGACTGTATGTGAGAAGGACCTAGGTGTGTATGTTGACAATGAGCTGAAGTTCTCGGGCCATTGCGAGAAGTTAAATCAGGCAAAAAAATTATTGGATCTTATAAGAAGGTCGTTCAGATATCTAGACGGTCCGTCCCTCGTAACAATCTTCAGGAGTGAAGTGCTTCCCCATCTGGAGTACTGTCACCCCATCTGGTCCCCGAGATATGCTAGGAACTGTCAGTTTGTTGAAAATGTTCAAAGGAGGGCCACCAGACTGGTGCCTGCACTTCGGCACCTCAGCTACCCTGAGAGATTGGAGCGCCTGAACTTGCCTAGCTTATACTACAGACGGGCAAGGGGGGACCTAGTTGAGGTGTATAAGCATCTCAGGGGGCACTACTCAGATGAGTGTCCTTACTTGGAGCTGGCGGACGCTCATCCCACAAGGGGTCACAGCCCAAGATTGAAGAAGCCGTAAGTCCAGAAAACTGTGAGGGCAAACTTTTTCGGAGTGAGGGTTGTAAACTCTTGGAACAATCTACCAGAGAGTGTTGTGACGGCACCGAGTGTGATCTCTTTTAAGACAAGACTTGACCAACACTGGAGTGGGTTCAGGTACATTCAGGAGCCGGTGCATGCCCAGTATTTGCCAACAGTGCGTGACAGAGACGTGACCGATCGCCCGGGCGGCTAGCTCGCCGATCTTTTGGTGAAGAAGATAAATGAAAAGGAAAAGTAATCAGAGACGTGACCGATCGGCCAAGCGGCTAACAAGCCGATCATTGGCGAAGAGGATAAAAGTAAAGTAAAAGAACAATGAAGCGTCAGAAGGAAGTGTCTTTTTTGAACCGATAGACGGCGCATCGTTTAGGGGACTGGGAGATGGAGATGGGGTAAGATGAAGTGTGTGTGTTTAAGAAGTAAGAAAGACGACGCATGAGCAATTTAAAGATGTTAAGAGGTGTGATTTGGTGAGAAGATAAAGAGTAACAACTGAGAGAGAGAGAGAGAGCATGCATAAAGAGGACAGTTAAGGAGACAGTCCTGAACACTGGAGAGGAGAGGGAGGGACTGACTCAGTGAGGCAGCCAGCGTAGTGGCAGCCTCGGGCGGTTGATGCTCAGGAACGCTGCAAGTCAAATCCTATAATCATTTCACTACCATGGAATTAAAATTACTCTTTTCTTGGTGATAATATAATCTTATGAATAATGAAATAATATCATCTTATCTGCAATACAATAATTTTATCAGTAATATTGACGGCAGGACAAACTATTGGATAAATTATAAACAGGAAACACGTACATTAGTTTTTTGTTTCGTAAGTATTATTGAATGTATATAATAAAGGGTAAATATATCCTAATATAATTCCAAATCATAGTTAAATTTATATTGTGTATATATTAACGTAAATACACTGTTTAAATAAATGAATGTCGCAATATATGCAGACACCAACTGTGACCTAACCGAACCCAACCTTCTCATAAGTTATTCAACCTCTCCTGTTATCCACCCTTGATAACTTTTTCTGTACATATATAAGAGCTTTTGAATTGTGTCCTTATATACGACAGAGTAAATGTAAATATTGGCAAAAAAAGTGTGTGTGTGTGGAATAAATGATATAATAGGTTTTTAGTGAGATGCTTGTCTTATTAGAAGTGTAAATTATCACATGTGTGCTGTTAATACCTACCATAAGCTCATTTAGATTTATGTTATTAAGTCTACTACCGTTACTATTACAACCTCGTGGTATTGTTTCTTTGTCCTGTATGCATGATTATTGTTAGTGATAGTTTCATTATTCTTATTATTATAACCAACGACATCACAATTAACATTATCAAGATCTCATGAGTCTGTTAGATTCTTTTCTCTACCCATAAGTCTCCCCCCTCAACCCTCCCCCCTCCCTTATCTACGGTTTGTCACCTATTAGTTCAAAGTCACTTCCTTTTGATGCTTTATTGTTCGAACCTTAAATGCATTGATAGCAAGACGGTATTTTTGTAAACGCACAGAATTAAGCGAATACGTGTAGCATTTACCAAGGCTTATAAATAGTAAATTGTTATCATTGATGCTTGCAGGAATTTGTGGATGGTTATTGTGGCGCTGATAAACTGATGCCTTCCTCGCACCCACTAACCTCCGGAAAGAGGTGTTGATAGAGGCACTGAAAGAAATTAACCGTAGGGAAACGCTGAAGGACATATAGTACTTCTCTGAGTGAGTTAATAAACCCCAGAGATTATATGATAAAAAATGTTTAGCATGAAATGTACTATTCTCTGTACACGTGGCTATGAAAGAACACAAGCACAATGGTGATATAATGTGACACAAGAAACCTGCAGCACGACCCTGGAGCATCGTATTCTCTCCATCACAACTACTACCGCCATCACGCGAATCAGCTAACCTAGGGTTACCATATCTGAACATTCAAAAAAGAGGACGCTCCCGAAGACATTCACCCCGGCACACACAGGCTAATATACAACATACATGGTATAGAAATCTTAAAAAAAATTACCTTTGCTTAAGGCTGAACATCTTCATTCCCTTAGCTGCAGTCTTCTTCCCCCACTGTGTGTGTGACTTGATGTGCCCATGCATACTTTTCTGTAGATTGGATCTTTTTCAGTATTGGCTGATTGCTCTTTAGAAAGGTATAGAAGTCACTGCAAGATGTTTCTCGGAAGTTGTACTGTACAGTCAGAATGCCTTTCATTGTTTCAACACTCAATTTGTTCCTTTCCTTTGTCCATTGACTTTGCATCAGTGAAAAAACTCTTTATACATTTGCATTGTGACATGATATAGCAAAGAAGAATTGTGCAATTCTTAGCAATTCTGAGTGGCATTCAATGTTCTTTGCTTTTTCAAAGTATCTGGTCCACTTTTTATGTGTTGGCAGATTACTAAATTCTTCATCACTCTTGTAATTTTCCACAAACTGCTTCAGGTTACTAACTTAGCCAAAACACTTCATCAACTTCTACCCCCTTATCAATCAAATATTTGACAGCTAAGTTGACAACACCTACAGGCGTACAAGTGACTTATCAGCTGACGAAAACTGAACGAGATCTCTACGGTTTCCACCTTCCCCCTCTCGCTCTCTCTCCCGTCATTACAGTTTCATGTTTGTTTTTTTTCCGTGAAGAAAATGATGGAAGCTGAAATTCCTGACTTTTGAAGAATTTTAAAAATTCCTTCCGGATGAAGATTTCGAGACCTAAATGGAGGACATGTCCGGGAAAATACGGACGAATGGCAACCCTAAGCTAACCCACGTCTGTTCAGTTCCAGGGTTACTTATGATGAAAATTACTCCAACTGTAAAAATGGAATTAATCTACATGAGAAAATCAGGTATTTAATAAAATGATAAAGACTGAAAAAAAAGAAGAGCTTGTGGTAGCATAAACGCAATCACAAAATGTCAAAACTTATAAGATATGATGAAGGTAAATTTAAATGAAAGCTTGCTGTCACATTTTACTCTTCGCGTTTCTCCTGTAATTTATTTTCAGTGTAATTGTCTTCATTATTTGTGTTCTTTATATTGTTTATGTTATATAAATGACCCCTCTCATCTATTTTTTTTTTTCCCAGTAGTGTCGGGTATAATAACACACGGTAAACGATAATATTGCTTAGAATATTTCCCATTCCACTGTGAGTCTGATAATGTAAAACCAGACAAAACAAAGAAATAAACTGGATGATTCCGGCCGTTGGTTCGGGGTGCGTGAGAGTCCGCCTGCTGACGTCACTTAACTCCGCTTATTTGCGCCCTAGTATACCTCTTTCATCTCTATATACCTTAATTAGCTATATTAGTCCCCCTCCTCCCCCTCCCCCCAAAAAAGTAATAATAATATATTTTCAGGTCAGAGTCCGCGTTTGTTGATGGCGGGTTTCATGATTACCACTATTTTCCTCTCTATGTGGATCTCTAACACTGCAGCCGCCGCTATGCTCGTTCCCATCGTTGACGCCGTCGTCTTGGAGCTGTGTAAGGTCAGTAGATTCTTCCTCTGTTGCCCTTTGATGTTTCTTTTTTTTAGGGGTTTAAATCAGATGAGGTTATGTTAGGAGACAGGGTTGATTTCAGGTGGGTTAGATAAGTGTCTTTTTTTTACACACACAGCAAAGCAAATCTCATATAATTTCTATATTATCAGCGAATAAAGACTACGATGAAAGCTGTAAATGTGAATCATCATAAACAAAAATACACATAATAAAGATTAGTGTAAACCGCAGAAAGTCTTGGGTATGAATCCGTATGTTTGGGTGTTATTCTTGTTGGTCGCGTGAGAGTTTACAGTAACTCATCCGACGTGGCTACGATGACGTCACGAGCTGTAGTGTTGCCATTATGAGGGGGAAACGTTGTCATTGATACCAACGTTGAGGACATACCGAGAAATATTAGATGAAAGAAAAAATTTAAATTGTTTTAACGTTACGTATTGCAATTAGATGCTTAAATAGTGAATTTAACTGGCATTTTATTGTGATTAAATATCGTATCACATCTAACACGTTCCACCCAACAGTGTTACCATCGCCGAATTTAACCTAGTTTCGTACAAAAAAAAATTGCTGTTACTCATACAAAATTTACAGCTTTGTAGAATGTTCGACTGTGCTACTCTGAATAACTTAACGTCAGTGTGTTTTATTTCCAATACTATAGGACGGAAGGTCATTCTTGGCCTTATACCTGCACTGTCTATGTGTACAGTACTTGCTGAATCAATGAGAATTTGTACGACATTATTGAATATGTTTATTTATTTATCTATATATCTACCTATGATTGCAATATGATATAGCTGTGTTAATCTAGCTATAACTCTCTATCTGTCAGCCCTAACAGTTAAAATAGTATATTCATTATTATTTTATATTTATTTATTTATTGTGCCTCTAGAGGACCCCATGTTTGACCGCCATGCGTTCGTGACTGACTTACACGCTCACGGTGGGGTCCTAAGGGAGGAGGGGGGTGCTTATAGTGCTGCCAGGCGTATGGTTAGCTCGGGAGTAATGCATCTGTACCCAGTTTTGGCTAGTTCATATTTAGAGCGTCATAATATTAGTGAATCCATTGTGGGTTTATTTGTATTGATGTGTTATGACTAATAGTAAAGGGAATATTAGTTCACTAACCTGATGATTAAAGCCTCTTAATCTACCCTAACCTAGGGAGAGTTAGGTTATGGAATTAGTACAGTATATATCAGTATACCTTTAAGTAATTAGTTGTTGATCTTAATTATGATTTGTTTACAGACGAGAAAGATTGAAGTTCGACTGGAGCAGGAGAGGGCGGTGCCAACTCTACAGGAGGTTACCGTGTCCTTACCCAGACAGAGTCGCCTTAAACTCTGCGATTCGGACGCCACCTTCTCCGACATTATTATTAAGTGAGACTGCCGTTGAAGACTTTCGTTTTTTATGTATATGTTCGTTGGGAGACTTATTTTTTCCGTCAGTTTTTGTCTTTGTCAGTTAAGGGGGAGGGTAATGCTATATTATTTAATAGTTTTCTATAATACTGGATGTTTTTATTTTTTATCAGTAAAAATTCTGTCAAAATTAGTTACGTCTTGTACTGTATTTTTTTAATGTAACGTAGATTTAACGGGTAAGCTTATTAGGTTTAAATCTGTGTTTTGATTCTAAGATATGGCCGTGTGTCGTGCCAGTGTGTACTGTACTATGATGAAATAATGGTATAGACTATAAGAGTATCATCGTAATTTCATGAAATACTTATAAAAAGTTATAATCCACACATACACGTAGTACATCGACACACACACACGTCAAGCACATAGTTCACCCCCCTTCCTCCTCCTTAGGGATGAGGACGGGACTCCACAGTTAGAACGGAAGGAGAAGCAGGCGAAGGAGCTTCCTGAAAATGAGGACACCGACGAAGAGTCCAAGGCGGTGAGAAAGATGTTCTTCCTGGGGGTGGCCTTTGCTGCTAACATAGGAGGCACCGGCTCACCCCTCGGCTGTGGCCCTAACCTGGTTGTGATGGGCATCCTGCAGAAGTAAGTGATGGTGTGAGTTGATGTTAATGATATTATTCATTGTTTCAGACACAGAATTGATGTTGATAATCACCAAACCACCTACAAAAAGTGCAGTGTTCCTAAAACCCTGCCATCAACCACCTACAAAATGCGCAGTGTCTTTAAAACCCACACAAAATACACAGTGTCCCCAAACATCTGCCACTACTCACCCGTTTAACATTATAGTCTTGTCACCTTAGCACGTTCGAGGAACCCACCGGCCTCAACTTCGCCACCTGGATGATGTTCAACGTACCTGGGATGATTATATGCGGTGTGTTGGGGTGGTGTTGGCTGCAGATCCTCTTCATGTTCTGTGGGTGAGGCTCTCATCTTTCTCGTTTGGGTAAAGTCAGGAACTTCACTTCAGCCATTCATGATAACATAAAAGAGATATTTTAATCCTGGGAATTATAACGTTTGATTTAACATATACCTGTATGTCATTGTTATATTATTATTGGTAAGATGAGGTTAAAATTCTGTATCTATCAGTTAGTATTAATTCATAATAACTCGTCTTGCAGGAAAGTTAGAGTACAGAAGTCAAGCCCACTAAGGGAACGAGCCATGAAGATGTTCCTCCGTGACCACTACGACGGCCTGGGCAGGATCACCCAACACGAGCTGGTGGTGTTGACCTCCTTCACGCTCCTTGTCTTCCTGTGGGTGTTCAGGGCGCCAGGCTTTATACAGGGCTGGGCTCACCACGTCTCTAACCTCTTCGAAGACAAAGTGTACGTTATTAAATGCTATAATGTTAACTTGAGGATCGGAAAACAATGAAACCTCCATATAACGGACATAACAGACTTTGTCTCTCCATATAACGGACTTCTTTTGATATAACATAGTTTCTCTCGATATAACGGACTTTTTCTCCATATAACGGACTTCTTTTGATATAACATACTTTTTCTCTCGATATAACGGACTTCTCAATATAACGGACTTTTTCTCTTCATATACTTCGTTAGATGGAGGTTTCACATCTAACGGACCCTCAATATAAAATTTCATCCTATCACAAATTATCTTTATCTAAGGGAAATTTTTTGACTTATAAACCGTTCAAAAAAAAGGCGGGATAAATACAGAAATAATCCAACATAGAACAATTATTATGTCCCAATACTTATGATTTGTGTTTGTTTTAAATATATTTTGTTACCTTCTTATAATACTAAATTCCTATACAACCTTAGTGTCTTATTGAGTAGTTCGTTTCAAGTTCGTATAATGCTGTTCATTCACAGTTTGTTTTCTCAACCACCTAACGGTCAAAAAAACAAATAATTACAATGTCTTTTATTCCTTTTATCTCCTGTAAAGAACAACTCGATTTGCATACTGTACCTTGAAACATTAAGCAAAGGTAAGGAATAAGTGAAATGACCCCATATATACCAGGAATTTAGATACAGTACTTTGTTGTTGTTCAGTGTAATAATTGGTTCACTTGTTAAACCATAATTACTTACAAATGAGTATGCTGATAGCTAGACTGATAGATAGATAGTGAAACCTCTATTTAGCGGACTACATGGAGAGGAAAGTCCATTATATCGAGAGGTCCGTTAGATGTGAAATCTCCATCTAACGTAATATATGAAGATGAAGGTCCTTTATATCAAGGGCCCGTTAGATATGAAACTCCATTAGGCGAAATGTATGGAGATAGACATCCTTTATATGGAGGTTTGACTGTAGATAGAGACTAAAATCACCCAATATATAAACTATTACCAGTCACAATAATTATTTAGCTTCTTTAAAACAACTTCACCGTGTTGCAGGATAATCCGAGACGCGACGCCAGTGATGCTGATGGTGTGTCTACTCTTCACCATCCCGGCCAAATCTCAGTGTTGTTCAGACGTGGATAGCGGTGAGTTGCTCTCTCTCTTCAGTGGCACTCTAACTCCCTGTAGATGGAGTGTTTATAAAGTACAGTACATCATAAGACATTGAAGAAAAATAAAATAAATTAATTGTCTGTTTTTAGGTGTAAAGTTGATGAGACGGCAGCTTTTTTTAATACGATTTTTCTGACGAGATGAACTGAATTGTCTGGTTTGTGTAAACTAGTAAAAGAGCCTCTCCCTGTCATGACATACTAATATTATCCCGACTGTTTTCAGATGACAGAAAGCCAAAGAGGATGGAGATGTGCTTGACGTGGGAGGTGGTACACGAGAAGCTACCCTGGGGAATTATCCTCTTGTTGGGAGGCGGCCTGGCCATGGCCGAGGCCGCCAAATCATCGGGTTTATCCGTCTTCCTGGGCCAGCAACTACAACACTTCGACGTCATGCCCAAAGAACTGATCGTATTCGTGGTGTGTCTCATGACGGCCATGTTGACGGAAGTCGCCTCTAACACTGCCACAGCCTCCGTCCTACTGCCAGTTATCAAGGATCTGGTAAGCGACACTTGTATATCTAAGGTAGTGTTGTATAGCTGTATATCTGTGTATCCATCTTAGTAGTTGTCATCGTTACTGTCCCTTGTCAAAATATATTGTGATGGATAGAACAAGAACACTACTGCATCTATGTCTTAACTATACATTTACCAACGTAGTATTCTAATACAGTATACATCAGAGCCATCATTGTTTATATAAGTGTTTAAATGTAGACGTTGCCCTCTCTCTTCATTACTCCAGTCATTCTTCCTTCACTGTCCCCTCTTCCTCTTCCCTCTCAATTTACAATCAAACTCACCTCTCATTTTCTACTTCCCTTTTTCTTAGTACTTCTCTCGGTCCGTACATCCTTTTCTCCCTCGCTCCCTTCATCACACCTCCCTCGCCCTAAGGCGCTGGGAATCAACGTCAACCCCCTGTACCTGATGCTGCCGGCTACTGTATGCTGTGCCTATGCCTTCATGCTGCCTGTGGCCACCCCGGGCAATGCTATCATCCTCACTGCCGCCCGCATGAGCACCCACGAGATGGTATAGTGAACCCATGTTGTTCTATGTTAAGGATTTGATCGTGTATTAAACCCCTGTTTGTTCTTCGTCCAGTATTTGATCAAACAATAAACCCATTTCGCTCTACGTGAAATGTTTGATCAGACAATAAACATCTAGCTTTCTTTGTTCAATATATGGTCACACATTCAACTTACGTCATCCACTAGGCAGTATTTCATCAAACTGTGAGCCCATAACATATTTAAGTACAGGAGCATAATGATACTATGTACAGTGTAAGTAAATATGTGTTTGTGTTGCAGATGCGAGCTGGGGCGGTAATGAACGTGCTGTGTGTGTTGGTGATCACACTCATGATCAACACACTCGGGGTGGCCATCTTCGACCTACACAACATCCCCTCCTGGGTCAATTCCACCACGACTTCAGTTCACTAAGTTCCTGTATCAAGGACTAGTGTTCTCCGCCACTGTTATGTCAATCACACCAGTCACTTACTAGAGCTATTGTTATATATCAATCACGTCCGTCACATTATTAGAAGCGCCTTTGCCACCATCATCACTGTTCATGTGACCTACATCACAATGATCAGCTGTTACCTCCATCAGTTTTCTCAACTGCCACAACAAATAGCAGTCTTCAACAGTGCCAGAGATATGTTGAACTTGTTGTTAAGATAAGCCTTCACCTCACCACATGGATTACCACCTACTTCACCTTGCAAAGAGAAATCTTCATTGCGACAATCTTCTTGGTCATAAATATTTTTTGAGATACGCCATCACAACTGCCATCTCTGCCACCAAGCTTGGAGTTCTTCACCATAATAAATTAAACCTTATGTTTTGTGAGTCGTCTAATAGGGAGAAAGTTATCATTACGATTACCCTTATCGTCGTGATACTTGGAGAAGCCATCGTTGCATCTGTAGTCTCAGCCATTCAACTTCGACCTGCCTTTCATTTCACAACGCAACACTAGATACAGCTTTCACCCTAACTGCCATTTTGATTATAAAACTAGGAGAAGCTTTCACTATGATTGACAGCATCACTCACCACACAAGGGGAGTCCTTTATTCTTGACTGTTATATCAATCACATAATTAGGAAAGGCCTTCACTACAATCTTCATATCCAGCACAATTACTAGATTCAGTTTTCACCACCACGAGTGCTAACGACGAAGCCTTCACCGCCACTAGTTATCTCGGCCATATTTTCAAGAACAACTCAGTATCCTTCACCTCTAGTTTCGGATGAGCTACCACATAAGAAATGGTCCTCAACCTCGTCTCTGGACTTATCATCAGAGATTTAGCCAACAGTGACGCGTACTGCCTATTCATCAGGATAGAATCATATACAGTACAGGGATATTAGATGAAATAGGAGTACAGTGATTACCGGTAAGATTTTAATTAATGTGTTTTGATAAGCTAATTGGAACTGTTAAACTTAAGAGATACAACATTTATCTTGAGTCTGTATTTTATCAAGAAAATCACTCAATCATTTACCGTATCGTGCCATTGGGTTGGATTCCATGACGGTTTTTTTTCCAAGGGTAAACAGTTTCAAGGACTATAAACAGGTTGAGAACCATTATCCTTATGGTCTACTGCAGCTGTTGCACATCTATATGGAATTACGACAAAATTAAATCAGTTTACAGTTGATGAACCAGAAACAGTATTCATAGCTACTTAATGTAGGGTTAGAGGTACTAAACCCAGGTTCTTTAGTAGTAATTCTTTTTTATGACTAATGACAAAACTGATACCTCAAGCCGAATTAGAATAGGTCGGACTCTGAAGAAAAGATTTATTACTGTATCTTCCTTGTGCTTACGTCAATAGGTGGCTGAAGGTTTTATTACATGAAACACGAACTTTATTTTCAGTGACTTGCATGGGAGTTACTGAATGGGTATACAAAGGGATAAAGTAATGTTTGGGATATAAAATTCATATACGATGGGGGGTGGGGGTGTGAAGTATATACAGTACAGTTTAATATATATATATATATATATATATATATATATGCTGATAACCACAAGGAAAGAAGAAAACACGAAGTTCCCAAGCGCTTTCGTGTAATTCACATCTTCAGGTTCAGTCTGTACTCACCCCTGAAGATGTGAATTACACGAAAGCGCTTGGGAACTTCGTGTTTTCTTCTTTCCTTGTGGTTATCAGCATATACCTAGATCACGCGCACCTACAGTGATTTACTTGCATATATATATATATATATATATATATATACTGTATATACTGTATTTATATTTTACTTTCTCGACAATACACTGTGATAAGCTTATTCCTTAAATGATTAGACTAAATGCTGTGATACTTTCTTTTTAATTAGAATTCCAGACTTAAGACTTCAAATTGGCAAAACCAGTTGAATCATTTCCTAAATAAATTTGGTTCGTGTGGTGAGTTGCCCACATGTGTATAGTTTCTACATAGTTGTCAGTGTAATGTATATATTACTCACCAAAATTAAGGAGGATTATAAGAACAAATACATGTCTAGAAAAATTCTAGATTTACATGAAGAAAATAATTAGTTGGGTACAGAATTGGAATGATTTTATCAATGTTTTGGACGTGGGGTGCGAGAACTGTCTTATCATGCTGTCTCTTGCCTTCAGAGAGGTGATGATCATGACTAAATCTACAAATTCTACCTCAGCTGAATATATAAATATATTAACTTAAGCTTCTTGAGGTATAATTTTTTTTATAAAACATCTACTGTTGTTAGGTGTACAGATATGTGTACGAGGAGATGGGGTTATTGAAGTTAATCTATCTTCCTCCTCAAAATCACAAGTCATCAACAAGACAATTGGTGGTGTCTGTTGGTGAGGGAGGAGGAGGACCTGACTCCTCCAGCCATCTACTGCTGGAAGATGCACTAATAGTTTTTACGCAGAACTTGAGACAATGTACCGTGGCATATCGAAATTTTTTCTAGGTCTTGCCATTTTTAGATTATAATAATGGCTTTTATAAATATCGTCAACGATTGTTTTCCTTTTATATCGAACAAAATCTGTGACTTTTTATCATGTTTTAGAGCAGATGATATCAGTCCTCAAATCATGATTTTTGGTGTCTTAGGGCCTGTAAGTCTTCAGTCAATGACAATACCGAATTTGTGGTTTATCTTGAAGAAAACAAAAATAGATGGTTAAACACTGTTCATAGTGGACAGATGACAGTATGGTGTTTCCTTCACTACCATATGGTGAAATATATGAAGTAAAAAAAATAGCAACAAGAAAAGGTAATGTAAAATATGACTAAATCGACAGAAGATAAAGAAGTTACAAGGATTTGAATGTTTGATCATTACTGAACCCGTCGATAGCAAGAAATGGCCTAATTTGAAAGGCTTGTGATGACATACATGATCTGGACTGTAAGGAAATTATGAAAAAAATCGGATTTGAAGTTCCAAGGGTATTGTGAAATGCAAAAACAAGTATTATAGCAAACTTTTTATAATGGAATCGTGATGTCTTCAGTAAACATGTGGGCGATACGTTTGGAAAATTACGTGAAGAACGAGATCGGAGTATAATTGAATTTGCTATGTCTTAAAGTACTATATGTATATAGTTTTACGGTTAAGCCTCAGTATGTTGTATAAAGAAAAGTGAAAGTAGAAAAGGAAGACTAAAGAAATATAGTTGAACTTTCCAAGATCTGAATGTGGATTTTGGTACATGGAACAAAAAAAAAAGACTAGGAATGGGGTGTCTTAACTGGAGAAAATGGAAAGACTTAAACAAAAATAAGAGTGAATTCATATAAGGAGAAAACATTTATTGTAATAAAATTTAGCCAATAATGTTGTTTTCTACTTTTATTATGTCATGTCTGTGAGTAACAGAACTGCTGACGTTATCTTGAAACTTTACCTAGCATTAGTGAGGCCACACATGGATTATGCGGTTCAGTTCTGGTGTCCTTATTATAGAATGGACATAGATTCTTTGGAGAGAGTACAAAGAAGAATGACAAAAATGATCCATAATATTAGAAACCTTCCATATGAAGAAAGACTGAAAAGCTTAGGCTTACATTCATTAGAGAGGCGTAGAGTTAGGGGAGATATGATAGAGGTGTACAAGTGGGTAAGTGGGATTAACAAGGGTAAAATGGAAGATGTTCTGAAGCTCAGTAATAACGAAATAACTAGAACAAATGGCTTTAAATTAGATAAATTCCGATTCAGAAAGGATATAGGCAAGCACTGGTTTGGTAATAGAGTTGTGGATATGTGGAATAGGCTACCGAGTGCTATAGTAGGATCGGGGACGCTAGGGAGCTTCAAGACGAAGTTGGATAGGCACATGGAAGTGCTGGGATGGGTGTGAAAGGGATCTGCCCTGTATGGGCCAGTCGGCCTCCTGCAGTATCCCACTTTCTTATGTTCTTATGTTACATATATATATATATATATATATATATATATATATATATATATATATATATATATATATATATATATATATATATATATATATATCATTATGACTGACCTGGTGTGTTGGTGTGAGGATTAGTGGATGGCATCATTATGACCTGACCTCATGTTTTTAAGGTCACCCTGTATATTTAAGCCTCTCTCTGTCCATGTAATCCAGTTGCCTCTGAAGATGTCTTGAATAAAGGCGAAAGCTAAGGTGCTCCGTTGTTTCCCTTTTCCCGTGTGTTTTTATCAAGATTTATCTTATCCACGTTTTCATTGTGGATCTACATGATATATATATATATATATATATATATATATATATATATATATATATATATATATATATATATATATATATATATATACTGGTTAGTCTTTATCACTTTTAGTACATATAAAGTTTTCATACGTAAAATGTAATACAACTTCATTTCATTTACGTGTTTTGTTGCGTTGTTTATCCTCTCTCTCTCTCCCAAATTATATTCGTTCTGTTACCTCCTTGTGACCCCCTTCCCCTCCTTCCTATGATATGCCACGGCAGCAGCCTCGCCTCTGTCAGGATAACGACGTACTATGGTTTGCTCTCCGTCCAGTAGCAAGTAATTGTACTGAAAGGGGTCGTATTAAGTACCTAAATCAGGAGTTGTTTATCTGTGTCTGAATTGTTAACACTGTTTATATATTTTGACTAAGATGCTCAATTATAGTAAATATTATGCATTTATGGTATGTTATTATATTTCCTGCTGTAAACTCATTCTCGGGAAAAATGCAATTTATATGAAAATTTTTAGGCTACATTTACATCTTTAAAGAGACGAATAAAACAATGGTACTTTAAAACTGGAGGACATTTGTCATACTGTATATAATTCACTGTATGCGAACGTACCTCTTCCCTTGCTAATATTGGTTCTCTCTCTTACTCTCTACAACCTCTCAAGTCTTTCATTTAAGATTTGTTCCAACAATGTTAATGCCTGGTTTCCTTGTGCCTCCCTTACCTTTCCATTTTGGCATTTTCACTGCCTTCCTCCAATCTGTCAAGATTTCCCGTAACTACATTTACTGTCTTTTGTAAGAAATTCTTATGGGGGAGAAATAACCTGCCAGATAAAGATGTGACAACACCAAATGTAAGCGCCTTTCAGTCCAAACTTTACAAACACTGAAATATGATTAATGCACCTTCAGGAGCCAGTACTTCTCAACGGTGTGTAACAACCGACCGGCTTGTACAGTCATATGCATCACAGCTATTTGACATTCTCTACTTTAAGAAAAAAGGAAAACATCGACAGTACTTACTGTTACCAGTGAATGACAGCGGTTAAGCGGTTTTCACTGTTATATCCCTTCTCTTATTTTTTCTCAAGCTAAAGTGACAGCTAAAGTAAAAAAAAAGAGGAGTAAATAAATAAACGATTTTAATCGAACCGCAAGCGAAGAAGAAAACTATTCGAAAAGCTCCAGCCCATGATATACAAATCTTTCAGAATACCGTCCTCATATCTGAGGGTTGGCGACCACATTCTTCCAAGATACACGTTCTCAGGCTGTGGTGTTTACACTTAATTCTGTTCTTTATAAAATGGTCATTATTATACGTATTATCCGTTGCTTTATATGTTTGGTGTCTCTTGATATACATAATTAGGGAAAAGATAAGTCGTGGCGAATGTGTTCTCCGAAAGCGTAGACTGGCTTGTGACTTCGAGCCTTTATTTTTAACGTTTTTTTCCACTCGTAGTTTGAAAGTCAATATTCTCAAGCTGTTATAACTCTACAGACATTCATGATTAAAGTGAGCCGGAAACAGGTATCCTTAACAGTTATATATGGATTTATTTGCGATATATCAATAGTAATCGAACATGGGGGGAGGGAGTCTTTACTTAATATAGTCAGTTATAAAAAGACTAGATTTTTGAAGATCATGTTCAGACAGATTTATTTTAGATCTAGAAATACTGAATTGAAAGCTGCAGCTCGGGAGAAACAAATCCTAAACTATGGAAAACAACCAACATGCGCACAGGTAGACACACGAGAATGAATGAAGTTTGGTAAGGTCACACTAGATAATTCTCTTTCTTCTTCCATTTGGGTAAAGATTAGTTTTGTCAAGCATTTCTCACGGAGATTATGGTCATAGTTCAAATCACCACAAAACCTGTTATGGTTATTAAATTTCCGTTATGTCACAAAACGAATCTTCACCCACATTTATCCCGGGGCTTTGAATCCACGGCCGCAGCGGTGAAAGACAACTTGCAAAGAATGAATATGATAATTATTATTGTAATGATCATCGTCTTCATTATCAAGTCAATAAAACTGCCATTATTAACATCAATATCCCACCCTGACAACCATTTTCACCACTAACAGTGTTCTCTGGGTTCCTCATCCCACTGAAAGTCGGTGTATTGTTGTTTACATTCGTCCAGGGGGAAGAAACGCAAGAGGTTTTGTGATTTTAATAGGAAAAAATCCTAAATGTATAGACTTATGAAATGATACAAATAAATGCATTAATTTCATTATTAATTAATTTTCGTTTTTCAATTAATTTATATATTATAAAAAAATATTGATTTATATTTATGAACAATTATTTTTTAAGTAATCTTCCAATTTATATATTTAAAATATATATAAATATAAAAAAAAATCATAAAATACAACTGAGTTTAGTTACTTTCATAATTAAAGTTTCGGTCAAAAGTAGCGAGTGTGTGAGCAGCCTGAGGCAGCCTGCGGCGGCGTCGACTGAGAGACACAACACAAGTTATTACTGAGATAACTAACAGTATGTAACACGTAAGTCATAGTGACACTAGTAAAGTCTTAAAATGTCTTAAAATGACAGACAATTTGGTATTGAGTTTGCTTACGTAATAATGGACAAGCTCAACAAGGAGGCATCAGCGTAAACAAACTTGTGTCCAGTAGCAGTGACCTCGGCGTTACCCTCAGTAATCACTAGTGGACGATATAATGTTTAGAAGGTCCCACAAATCATTTGGGCGTTAGTACAATCTGTAATAGTCAAGTTAGGCTCGGGGGCGTAAAGTGCAGTGGTTCGTTCATGTTAAAATTAAGGTCGATAAAAGAGCTCCGCCTTCACCTGACCCAACATGCGACCCAGCCCACGCATGACGTCACAGTGTGAACAGGTCAAGAGGCTGCCCGGTTGTAGCCGTTTCTGTGTCAACAGGTGTCAAAATGCCCACTAATTGTGCAGTGTATGGGTGCAATTCTTTGTTCAAAAGAGGCGGGGAGATACGCTTTCATGCATTCCCTAATGATAAAAAACTAAAACGCAAGTGGGTTAACCTCTGCAAGAGAAAGGACTTCATCAATACTGCTACTGCTCGGATATGCAGTCGTCATTTTGAACCAACTGCGTATGTGAGAAATCTCAAATATGAATTACTTGGGGTTCCACCACCAAAATCACAAATAAAACTCAAAGAAGGCGCGTTACCAACACTACGCTTACCATCATCACAAGGTGAGTTGAGTTATTCAAAGTTGTGTCGATCAAGTCTCTTCTTTGGTGTAAATAACTAGCAATACTGAACATTTTGTAATAATAATTTGGGGTAAATATAGGGGCATCAGGCAGATCAAGGACCTCAGGGACGTTGGTCTTAGATCCAATTCCTGTGAACGCCTTCGATGCCTTTCTCGTGGCCGGCTAACCAACGAGCGCCGCCTAGCGTCAATGTCCTCCTGTGTGCTTGTGGTCAATGGTTTACCTGATGCTTTTTTATTTAGGTTGTGAACAGTTCCGTTTTCCTTAAATTTGGTCACAATAAGGTGAATTGATTTTGATGTTGGCGCTCTTCTTACGTTAAAAGGACAACAGTAGCGATGTTGGGTTTGTACCACAGATTTTGTTTCATATACAATTCGACGACTTTTACTTTTTGTGCTTTAGTGAAAACCATATTGTCGTAAACTCCCAAGTGTCTCCTTTAATTATCTGCAACCAAAACAAAAATATGTTAAATAATTACAATCACAGGTATTTAAAATTAGGTACTACATTTTATTGGCACACCCTGTATATACAAGGTACATACACTATTGATAGTTGAGAGTCTGAAAAAGTTTGCCCTGACAATCTTTTAACTTGTGAATTTTCCAACCTTTATCTGTGACCTCTAGTGGGGCAGGCATCTGCCAGTAATGTCCTTTGGTGTTTATAGATTTCTATTAAGTCACCCCTTGCCCATCTGTAGTACTGTGTAAGCTAGGCAGTTGAAGGTGTTCTAATTTCCCTGGATAACTGAGGTGCTGTAGTGCACAGTGGTGCCGTCTGTCTTTGAGGATGAGCATTTTAAATCAAAATCTGAGCACCTCATCAAGAAAGCTAAAGAATAAAATGTCAAAACTTAGAAAATAAAGACTTGACACTAGAAATTACAGTATACATTGTAAAGTTATTGCCAATTATAAAATTTTGGCCAGTGCATGACAAATTACATCACAGTACAGTATTACAGTATGTTTGTGTGAGTTTTGATATTAGCATAATGAACACAACAGGGAGGAAAGGAACTGTAGGTACTGTACTGGGTAATTGAGCACATGCCTGTAGAGGTAGTTATAATTTAAATACAGTACATAACTAAAATTGAAATGGTATTTTCTTCTTTTTCCTTTTCTTACCTGTTATTGCATGCTGTATATCTATATATTCTGCATCGCTCATTGCACTGACTGGTGTGTAATGTGATTGATTTAGTTTTAACTGATACCAAAACTTAATTTTCTTTATGTTAAAAAGTATATATTATTTTGTGAATTGGAATTGTGCAATAAAATATTTGAGATATCCCTTTGTAATGATGAGCAAATGGAGTGAAAAAGAGAATGGGAAGTAAAAGCTTAGGTCAGCATTTATTGCAAAAGTTTAGAGAAATCTTTTAAATTATGTTGTTACTATATATTTTGAAATGGATAAAATTATCGTTACGGTCATCCACCTATTTGGAAGTTGATTTTTTTCCTGATGATTTTTTATGTGTTTTGAACATCAGCAACTATCGGAAAAACATAATTTCATCCTAACCTAACCTAAAATTTGCTGGATGGCTGAAACGATAATGATATCATGAAATGTTCACGAACCTGAAATATTGTACTGTATAATTAAGTACAGTAGAATGATTGATAATCCCTGTGAAATAGTTTTGAAATTTTAAGTCACTGTTACTCAATGAGAAAATACATAAAGCAAATATATTATCCAATGATACTGAGCTATTGTAACAAACATATAAATTTCTTAGTAAATAAATGATGTTATCTTTTTAAATATAAGTGAGACTATTTCATAAATAATAAGGGACTGGGAAGAATTGTTAGGAGAATACAAGCATTCCTGTGTGTCTGAACAGATCCACTTCAGGTCCAACATGGTACCCCTGGCCATGGTCGGAAATTTCAACCTCTCGCAGTCTTTCGGCATAAATAGCATTTATTTAAGGAGTGAATAACATTTTGGAGGTTGTACATAAGCTGTCATGTTGACTATAGATGGTTGTCAACTTGTCTATAGAGTGGATTTAAATATTGAAAACTGTATACAAACCCAAAGTCTTATAAGAGTGTAATTTTATAGTAAATTGAAACATACTTATTTTTATTTTCAGATATTTCTGAATTTAGTTCAAGCATCATCAGGACCATGGCGGAAATTATTGACCTCTCAGATGATGACGTAAGTTTAGATGTGTCCGGCTAATGTATTATATTGCTGGTAAAGTTAGAGGGTGAGCTTATTTTCCTTCTTTCTGTGAGTTATAATTTTAATATCATTCCTTTAGGTTGGCATCAGATGTGAGTGTGTGTGTGGTGCTGTAGTGTGTTTTTCATGGTTGATGCTGTCCTTATCGACTAGCACTTGGTTTGACTCTTTAGGAATTAGTTCCCTTTGGCCCATGTTGCTGGGGATCTTGTTGGATCACTAAGTTATGAGGCATTTGTCTAAATAACTACTGTAGGGGGAATTGATTGCCGGAACTGAGGGCAACACCAGAATACTGTGTAGGAAAAGTTGGTTTATGTGTGTGTGTGTGTGATTGAATTAATTTAATACAAGATTTTGATACCTAAAAGTTAAGCTTAGTTATTGAATAAGTTCCAGATAAATTTTAATCCCTATTTTATCTCTAGGTTGTAATAGAAGAAATACCCAAAAGAAAAACGTCTTCTGGTGTGAAGAGGCCATTTCGCTGTTTAAACTCTGATTGTCGCACTGAGAAAGATTTAATTCGTGCTGAAGAATATATCCGTCGATATTTTGGGGTGCTGTCATATCCAAAGTAAGTTTCATTACTTTTTCATTGTAATGTACATATTGCCTTAGCTATTTTTTAAGCCATATTTATTGTAATATACTGTAGATGAGAACTTAAATTTTGTATTAGGATTTAGGTAGCCATTTAGTCACACAGAACTGACTAGAATGATCAGGACTTATATTGTACTGTACAGTACTATATGTATGAGAAAATTTTATCTTGGGCAGAGGTTCCCAACCTGTCGCTTATGAGCACCAGTGTTCATATAAGCATTGTAGAACACCGCCAGACTACCAGTGGTGCTTGCCAGCAACAGGTTGGGAGTCCCTTCTTTTGGCCTTCAAACTTGTTTTTTATACTTCCTCACATCACATCTCATGTCCCTAGTGTACTTAGGTTATATTGTGCTACAAGGAGCTACTTTTCACCTTTATTTTTTGCTCTTCCTTAAAATATGTAAAAAAAAATATGCCTAATTATGTGTAATATTTATTCTATATAAGACTAGTGACCTGTAACAATCATGAGTTTGTATTCCTCTTTAATTTTTAATATTTACCCCCCACCCCCCAAAAAAAATTAACACAGATGACCAGTATGCTTCTCAGTGAATTCATTGTGGGTGGAGTAGGTCATTTAGTTACCTCTAGTTCTCAGTGTTATGAGAGAGAACTAAACCCTCTGAACATTTGATGACTAATTAACTCCATATAGGAATCAATTCATAGTTTAATACCTGGTGAAGTTACTTCATATACTACTGTTGTATTTATTATGTCATCTTGCAGGAAAAAGCGAGTATGTTACAACTGCATGGGCGAGGCCAAGTCTCAACAAGATTCTTTGGTCGAGACTCTGCGTGCAAGACGACTACTGCTGGCGGAGAAGTTGCCACCCCCGAGAACGACTGTTGTGCTGACAGACTCTGACTCCGATCCTTCTGACAGTAAGTTTCAAGTGTATCTTGTTACCTGGTAGTAATTAACCACATAGTGGTAAACATATTTGTGCAGTTAAGCATTAAATCTTCTCCTTGTATCTTATCTATATTTGTCCTATGATTTATTTACACCTGATTATTATTGTTCTAATTCTCGCTCATCCATTTTATCCTTTCTTGTTTATCTATCTAATTCTCATCCATTTTTCTATATCATTGTTTTAGGTGGTACCCTCAGCGAAGAATCCGAGTATGAATATGAGTGTGACGATGGCAAGAGTCTTGAGGAAACCATCATTGAACTAACCCGGGAGTTGGGGTTGGATAGACAGATCACAGAAGGCACTAAGCATCTTGAGGAGCGACTCTTGGCCGTACAAGGTAACGATTTGGGTTATTACGGTCGTTTTTGGTCCTTGTTAATATTTTTTTATACCTTCTTCGTATTCATGTGCATTTTTTTATTGAAGAAAATTTGTGTCTGCTTATCGAATTTTTTCCTGCTGGTTGTGGAGGCCGATGGCAAAGGACGTGACATCGTATTTTGTAACTCAGTCTTCCATATTAGTTTCATTACATCAGATACAGTGCTTACCATAGTTGAGACTATTTTAAAGCGTGGAATTGTTATTCTCCACATACTGTAAATTCATTGTGCCATTTTGCTGTAATTTTAAAGTTAAATTACTGGTACAGTAGATGGAAGGGTTCGATAAATTTTGAAGTGAGCACTGTGACTCCTGTTGTCTTGGTAGGGTTGTCGAAATCCTTCGTCTGTTGTGTCATATTGTCTCACACAAAATCATTCAGATACTTTTTGGAGCGAGTGTACAGTATATGTCATATGCCATCTTTATAAAGAGTATACTGTATCTGAGATGTGCTGACCATCAGTCTTATGCACCAGGGTTAGTTAATTTTACAGTAATTCCCTGTTAAACTATACTCTATACTCTAGGGAAGATGGATTTGGATTATGAGAATTTTTCAGATTTTCTTGAGTGTGGTTCATTGGGCACGAAATAAAACTATTTATGGCCATTATATAAGAACATTTACAGTACCTATTAACCCTTGTACTATTATACAGGAAAAGTGAAACCATGCAAGCTTAGAAAATAACCATGAAACCTTGATGATGATTTGACGTAACATTGAACTCGGTAAACAAAGGCAGATCTGTTTTTTTATCATTTTATTAAATTGATTTTGATTAATATAAGTTTAATTTTTTGCAGAGGGTTTTGACAAATTACATACAGAAGAGTACTCAAAAATTGAAGCTGATCTTGACAATGTTCGCAAGGATTTCTACAACAACTTCCGTCCAGAAATTATGGTATTGTTGATTTATTTTTAGTAACATTAGAGAAACGTCCAATTTTGTGTTTTGTCATTTGCAGTATCTTTGTTTGGTAAAGCAAATGATACATGAATTCACACAAGTCATTTGGAATAAGATTGATACCTTAGTAAGAGAAGAAAGAGCAAGTTATTTCACTTATCTGTTGCCAAAAATAGCATGGGTAATTCCTTGATAAAAACAAGATCAATTTTTTTATATAAAGAAACAGCCTTTTTATGATGTATCGATCTTCATGAGTCACCTGCAAGGTTTACTCCCCCTGCACACCCCCTGGGTAGAGCCTGTCCGTGTTCTCTTGTAAACACATCCAGATTCAGATCCAATTCCATTTGTCTGAGAGGTAAGTGAGTACCCAGATCAGGAGTATGTGACTTGCATTGATCTCTTACACTCATTTCCATGCTTATGGTCAGACTGTCAGTACCTTTCATCTCATGTTGAGTAGATATACTTTAAAGGGATAAGTGGTTTTCATAATTTTCAGATTTTGTATATTATTATTACAATGTCCTGGCATATGCCACTTTGTTTTAGTTACATTTAACCTTTAATTAGACAAGGTGAAGGTTTTGAAGTTGACCTTCAGCTTTTTAGTGTATGCCATGCCATAAATTTGTGCAGTTGGTGGATCCAGATGTGAATTTGGATTTATCTACCAGGTAGTTGGAAAGGCTGCATTTTTAGTTTACTAACAGCATTTTGTTACAGTGGCAACCTGCTCTGGATATTGGGCCATCAAGCACCATCTTACAGCAGGATGGGGTGAGTGATGTTTCCTCTCTTTGTGCTTTATTCAACTCAATAATTTTTTATGTCCAGTTAACAGTTTTTGCTGTAAATATTACTCTGTGTTACCCTGTTGACAGTAGTCTGCTACCATGTGAAAATACCTATACTGTACTGTATTTTTTATAATGGGTAATTAGCTAAATATTTATGTATTTTTATCGTGTAAATTCATTTAGATATGTTCATGTGTAATTTTAAATTAATTGGTTGCACCATTATTGATCCCTTTCACTACCAATGACTTACTTTAGGTTGCTGGTTCACTGTTTTACTTACTCAAGATTCTCTGATTATAATTCAAAGAAATTGTAAAGATGATTATACATAGATATTAAGTCAACACCAGAGAATATTTAGTAAGATCTTATTCACTTTGTGTTCTGATTTATCTTTCTACTTTATGTTTTCTTTCCAAAGACCGGAGAGGTGATTGCAGAACCATCTGTATATTTCCCCACTGAGAACCTGCCTCCAGTTGGACCTCTGCATCGCTGGGAATTACAGCCCGATGAACTGGTGTTCTCCATGAAGTACTCCCTCTTTGCCCGCTGGGTCCAGGCACAAGTTATCGAGGTGGAAAAACGAGAAGTCAAGGTAAGGGTTAGTAAAAAAAAACTTTTTAATGTAATCTTCCAGTTTTGTTAAATATTGAAGCTTTTATATTTTAATTAATGTTCAGTTTAGTGAAAGGCTCTTATTATGGAAAGTTTGCTATATTTTTCAGAATACAACTTACAAGATCCGTTACAACCGTAATGCCAAAGGTTCAGGTCTTCCAAGGGTCATGCCCGGTCGTCAACTCGCGTATATTAATCCCTGTGCGACTCGTATCCCAGTTGGCACTCGTGTTATAGCGAAGTACAGAGATGAAGACCCCAAAAATACTACAATCTCTGGTTCATTTTATGTTGGTGTGGTGGCTGAGATTCCTACTGCAGCTAATAAATACAGGTGACTTCTCCTTTACCACATGTATGCCTTATCTAGTCTGTTTTACTGTATTTCACACCTAAGAATGATATGATACACTATTTTAATGAGTAATGTGATAAGGTTTGTTAAAGAACATTTATTCATCCTTGACCACACATACATACAGTACATACACACATGAGGGAAAAGATACTACTGAATATAGGTTAAAAGTCAACCATGCTGGGACTGAAATAATTTATTTTTTTCATATATGGCACAAGTACTGTACTGTATTTCTTAAGAGAATCAGTCATGACCTGGTACCATATGTCAATATTATTATAGGAACTTAACTGTTGAATTGAATTGAATTGAAACAGTTTATTTAGCCAGAAAAACACAGATACAGAGTGGATGATAATAACAATATTAACATGGCTGAACCAGTTGAGAGCCTGAGCTCTCTTTGGTGTAAATAAATGAGAGGTTAGGTGGCAGAGAGTGATTGCAGATACTTAATTGGAGGAAAACCCTCAAGTGGAAGACATTGCACAAGGAAGTTTGGGGACATGATCATGGTATATTGTAAGTGTGAGTTGATGTACAGCAACCATATTATCAAGATGAAGTTTTGTTTAGGCTACTCTGCAGTTTGGTGGAACATTGTGTGAGACACTGTATATCATATGAACAAGCAATGACAAACTGATAAATGTTTTGTCTTTTCAGATATTTGATCTTCTTTGATGACGGATATGCCCAGTATGTACTTCACTTTGACATACGAGTTGTAACTGAAAGCTCTGCTTGCCCTTGGGAGGATGTATCCTCTGACTCTCGGGAATTCATCAAGGAGTACCTGCAAATGTACCCAGAGAGACCCATGGTACGCCTTCAGAAGTGGAACTACGTCAAAACAGAGTGGAATGGTGATTATTACATTTACATATTTTAATGTTTAGACGGAGTATTTAATTTTTGACTTGTAGAGTTTTAGTGATCATGCCTGAATACAGTATGACTTAAGAAATCTGGATGTGTTAGGACTGAGACATTGATTGATTTATGTCATCCATTAACAATACAAATCTTTTCTAACAGGAAGATGGTGGAAGGCCCAAGTCAAGGAGGTTGATGGGTCACTAGTCAAAATGTTCTTTCCCTTGGATGGACGGTCAGAATGGATCTACAGAGGGTCGACTCGACTAAGTCCACTCTTCAACAAGAAGTTGAATATTCAGGCACAATCTGAACAGCCACTAAGAACCATCAGGAGACGTACGGCAGCCATCCCAGGAAGGGTGAGGTTTTTTTAGAGAGAACTTTTGCTTAAAGATCGTGTGTAACAAAGGACTCCTATAATACAAAATACATGAGTTCCTTATTGATATTCACAGGTCACTTGTCGGTTCAACTCTTAAGGTCTGCATCAATATTCTCTTTTCCAGTTCTATTCCCTGTGTGTGATAAAAGTTTAATAATCATGTACTTTATATAAGGAAACCTCCTGTGTTAACTTTCTTAAAGGTTCAGGTACATCATTTTTATAGATCTCATGAAGTTTAGGATCCCTGCTTTCTTGCACCTGATAAATAAACTCCCTAATTCTAACCTAACTTATCCTATCCTATTCCTTCCACATTGCATTGAGGTGTTTAATCATCAGGTGAAATAAGCAAAGGTTCCTCATCTTAAGTGAGATCCAATTTCTCTGATAAAAACTCATTTAAAAAAAAAAGCAAATGTATGAAATCTTAGAAGTTGGTCGCTCTGTGTGACATGTACAGTATAGCATTAAATTTACACCATTCCTGAAGTTTGTTGGTTCATAGTATTTACACAGTTCCTGAAGTACTGTGTAGAGAGCATATAAGATATCGGCACAACTTTGTTGTGGGTGAGATTCAGCCGTTACACCTCTGTTCTTCAGTAAGTCTTTGTTTGACTGTGAATTTCACCTGTAAGTTTAGTCTTCCCAGTCTATTACACATAAGGATTAAAATGTAGTAAATTTTCTCATTCATTCTGCAATTTTACAGATACTGTATATATTTTCTATTTTTATCTTCCACTATACATGTTATTTATCTTTATTTTTGTACCCCGTGTAGCTGTTTCTCATATTTCTAAACGTGTTACTTACAAATGGAATAACAGGAGGGTTAAATTCCAGGCTGTGGTGGAGTATGGAACGTTCGGTCAAGGCCAAGACCCAGACGCAGCTGTGCCTGGTAAATTTGTACAGCCTCCTGGTGTTGGTAAGTAAATTAAGACATGCATTTCTATTTACAGTATTTATTTATTTATTTTATTCATTTATTTATTTATTGATTTTGAGTATAATAATTCTTTTCTTGACAATTCCTTTACTTTTAAATAATCATTTAGATGTGACCGTCGTGTGAGCAATACACGGGTTGAATAACATGCTAATGATGATGATAAATATGATACTTAAGATGGTCCAGTGTAAGAAACAGGGAATTGAGATAAGAGATATGGAACTGAACAAAGATTTAGGGAGGGAATGGACCAGGATTTGTTAGGGTGGTGGGGATACAGAGAGAGAATGGGAAGTGAGATATCAGTGTGAAGAATGAGTGTGTCAGAGGGAGAGGAGGATGACCCAGAAGGTGGGGAAAAGGGTAAGGTGGAGGAAATGCCAGAAGTATGTGAGTGGATATGCACGTCCAAGTATCGAGAGTGCATGTGAGTGATTAAACAGGATGATAATGACTGGTTAATGGAGTTTTCAAAGCAGTTAGAGTGAATGGATGATGACACTTGAAGGAAGAGTCTTAGATTGAGATTGACTTCCACCTTGCCACAACATAGGATTGAAAAGAAAAATTATGATAAAAGGAATGTGAGGTAATAGATATATAAAATAACCTTAAGAGAAGGAAATATTTCACCAGGGTAGACTGCATAATTCTCTCCAATCACTTACATGTAAGGAGGTAAAGAAATGATAGGAATTCTTTTGTGTGAGAGAGGGAATTCGACATTGTCCAGAGTTATGGTCTCTTGGACATACCATAATGCCTCACAGTGGAGAGAATTGGCTGCTTACAAATTGCATATAGTGTTGTGAAATAGAACTGCTAATTATTTGCCTCTGATACTTTTGATTATAATGGATATTTATATGTTGCGGTTACAGAAACAACTGGTGAGAGGAGGTCTGTTGCACGAAAGAGTACATCTTCTCGACCAGGCACACCACCTAAGGAAGTACAAATCAGAGTGGAACAAGAATCCAAAGGCTTCACAAATGTAAGTTGTAAATGAAGGTGTTCACTCAAGATATAGAAAAGTGAGATACCTAACTGAGTATTTTCCTGAAGGTCCTTAAGTACTTGATATTGATATACAGACATATTATCTTATTTAGGAGGTGTTTGAGGAAACTGTGTGGATGCTTGGTTTTCATTTCAGGCTGGGAAATTACCTAGCCAGAACTGTGTTGACATCTTGTATTCTCACTCACTTACCACTTTCATTTAAATTTAATCATATAGTATTGGTATGGAATATTCCCATTACAGTAGTATATAAATTCTAAGCCACAATAGAATATGACTAAGAACTTTTAATTTGTCAAAGTTTTCAAAATGCACTGCCTCTTACTCTTAATGTGCAGTTTGAATTAAAATAGGTCTTCATATGTAAATGCCTTTACTTTTATATATCATAGACTTCTGTTTCTCATGATTTGTCTTTCCCAACAGAAACATTCTTTCCTGGAAAGGATTCTAAAGTTTATCTCACACGTGTGTGCAGCCAAGTGCCTTGGTGCTCAGGGAGACAGTATGGATAAACACAAAGGCCTTTCACCTCTCCTCTACCCACTCCTGTTTTCTTGGCACAGGTAAATAATAAATATACTTATCAGCACGAGTTAACATTGCTCATTGGTGAAAGCAATTTGGGGAGTTTTATGATTTGTTGGGTAAGTGAAGTGGGTTTGTTGGGAAGAGGGGGTTAGTTCCCAGTTAATGTTGAATTACATTAATGATGCATAATGTTGGTATTAGTTTTCTGTGTTTTCATGGATGGGATAATAAGGGAAATTATTGAAAGAATAAGAGAGAGATAGGTGCAAGTGTGGCAAATAATGACATAGAATGCAAGTAGGAAGTGAGTCAGTTGCTGGTTGCTGATAACACTGCTAGTGGGTGATACAGAAGAAAAGTTGCAAGTGTCGGTGAACAAAAGTGAAAGTACAGTATGTTTAGCAGGAGAAATTTTATAAAGAATGTCAGCTAAAGAAATTTAGATGAATAGAGTAGGGAGGCAGAGAGAAATGAATGTCATCTTGAATGGAGATAGAATGGAGGAAGTGAGATGTTGAAACAGACATCTGGTAGTGATTGTATCTGCAAATAGAACTGAGAGTGACATACTGAATTACAAAGTTGTGTGGGAAAAGAAAGTGCATTGAGAACTTTCTTGAAAATTTTGATTTATATGGTTACTTACCTTCACAGACAAATTGTGAAACAGCGTCGCAAGACTACCTCCAAAAACGAAGTATATTATGTAGGACCGTGTGGCCGGCGTCTGCGCTCCGTAGAGGAAGTATTTCGTTACCTCCGAGAAACAGAATCCAGACTGGAGATTGACTGCTTTACTTATGAGTTGTCTATTGATGTATCTCATGAGTGGGAGCCATTTAAACAGATTTTGAACATTGAGGTGAGTATACAACACATAACTGTAGCAAGGTCTAGCATGTAGCTACTTGTATGGGTTGAATTTAGGGACATTTCTTTCTATGTTGGTTCTTTTCAAATGTCTTCAAACTCTGCACAGTTATCTAATTGTGTAGTGCAGAGTATCCACTTTTTGTACTCCAGCAGTTTTTCAGGACATAAATTAGAACTTTGCCATTATGGTACTCCACCCATTACTAGTAGTCTCAGTTAAATTACTCATCACCCGCAAATCAGTTTCTTCCCCTATTCAGATGTGGTGCCACAGGAAAAGTCTGGCTCCTTTCTTGCTGGCTTTTCAAGTGTGCTGAGAGTCAATTCTCACATGGATGTGTGAGTGAATTTCTGCTAAGATTGCTGTAGTTACAATAATTCTCATGCATAAGGTATGAGAATTTTAAGGCTAGTAGGATAATAATTATTTCATATATTGTACAGGTATACACTGAAATACTGCAACAGGACTTAACCTAAGGCCACTCATGTCATCTGGCAAAACACACCATGATTAGGCTTTTTTTCCCCTGAGGTTAAGTGTTTGGTTATCCTTGACCATTCAACATGAAATTCACTGTATTGAATTTTAGTTGTTGAGAGTGTAAATTTTGCTGGCCAATTCATTGTCTTATCATGTAATATCTTATTGATTTCTTTTCAGGACTTGTCTAAAGGTGAAGAAAATGTCCCAATCTCATGTGTGAACTCCCTGGATGATACTCCTCCTCAACAGCTAACGTACTGTAATGTACGTCTCCCCACGGAACATGTACCTCTGAATTTAGATCCTGAGTTTCTGGTTTGTTGTGACTGCACTGATGACTGTCTGGTGAGTTTGTGAAAGTCATGGTTTGGATTCTCAATATATTTTTAGACATTCTTTTCTCTGAAGTTATTAAGGACCATTAGGCTGTCATAGCTTGGGACTAAAATTTAGTTTAGTTTTGTGGTAGCTTAGAGAACTGCTGTTGCTTAATGATACTAGTAAAGTAAACCCACGCTAATAATATGAGGTTTCTGTACACATTGATCTACCTCTCACCAAAGTGGAAGAAGAATAAAGATACTTAGATGACGAGACTGATAGACTTTAATATGGCTTCGGAGTTGTTCTCACTTGGTTCTTCTTGTTTGCATAGTCACTAGTGAAATGCTGAAAAGGAAGTAGATATACTAAACTCTTGCACTGCTATGGTTGATGTAGGATAACTAATTCTCTCTCTCTCTCTCCAGGACAAATCTAAGTGTTCTTGCTGGCAGCTGACGATACAGGGTACTCGCATCCTGGAGCGGCATGAGAACGATAGTGCTGGTTATCACTATCGCCGACTGTTTGAACAAGTTCAGAGTGGTATTTATGAATGTAACTCAAGGTGAGTTTATACAGGCAGGTATAGTACAGTAAATAGTTTTTAGAAATATCTCTTGTGTCAAATTGTACTTTGATATTGGAGAGCCAAAGATAACATAGAAATTCAAAACTTAAAATAGACTGGCATGAAGTGTATCAATAATGTTGAATACTCTGTAATTATAAAACCATAATAAGGTTTAGTTTTTCAATTTATGTAAAAGGCGATGGGGAAAAGTGTTCTGAACAACTTCTGAATGTAATAGAAGAGAGGGAGGTGGAGTTATCTTTCTTGTGACAGGGAGGCGTGGAAAATGTCAAGATGGAAGAGGAATAAAATGGTAAAGGAAACACTGTTGAGACGAGATGTAACTAAGATTAATGATGTTGATAAGGAACTTACAGTGGATGGAATCAGTAGAATTTCTCAGGTGATCTGGTCTAAGCACTTCGTAACTGATGTCAGATATGATGATCAGAACATCTTATGAGGTCTCACAGCTAAATCCTCAAAAACTTTCTTCTTCTTTTGCACATCATCATCATTTCACAGGCATTTTCCTTGCTTGTGTGGGTTCCTTCTTAACAAGTTGATATCCTCTGGGACTCTTGTATGAAAGTGAAGGATATTCTGTTTAATTTTAGATCCCAGTCACAAGTTAGCGCTCAAGCTTATGGTAACAACCTCAATACTTCTGCTGGCCATATACAGTACAGTTGCTCAATGAATAAATAAAGTTGGGTTTCAGGATCGGTCCCCCATTTTGGGGAATGTTCCAAAATGTCAGTACAGTATACTGGACACAGCTGGATCTACAAAACTCACTCCTCAAAGGATCAAAGCTGATGTTTAGGTCTGAAGCCACCATGGAGATGTAGGTGGTAGTGTTAAGTACAGTAGTAAATAAAGGGAATTTGTAAGTGATCCTGTGGGGGGTGGGGGGGGGAGGAGAGAAAGATAATGGCAATCTGAAGCTAAGGTAATACGTACAGAGAACGTAATGGACAAAGTCTGTTATATTATTTTCGTGTTATAACAGAAGGAAAAAAAATAGTGACTTCTCATTAGCATGTTTAAATTTTTGGAATAAAGTGTGCAGTACATGATGATTATTAATTGCAGTGAACTTCTTTTAACTACAGATGCAAGTGCAGTAGCCATTGTTTGAACCGTGTCGTACAACACCCGCTGAGATTAAAACTTCAGTTATTTAAGACAGCGAGACGAGGTTGGGGTGTTCGGACACTCCACGACATCCCGAGAGGAGGTTTTATCTGCGTCTACGTTGGCAGGATGTTAAATGAAGCTATTGCTAATGAGGTATATATTTTCACTCTTTAGTCAATACCATGTTTATGGAAGATCAGAACCGTTAAAAAAATGTTGGCTTCATTTTATAAACTTTTCTTGCCATTTTATTATTCCTTTTCATAATTTTTATATTTACTTTTTTCTGCTCTCATTGTACCTTATTCACATGCAGTACACAGACTCCAAGTTTTCTTCTGGTTGGTGATATTGAAACCCTCAGTATTAGCAGCTTACATGCATTTCACATTTGTTGCCTTTGGTCATTAAGTTTAACGCCTTTTTATCAGTCGAAAAGTGTGTACAGTTGTGTCATCTAACATGTTCACACTGCACCATTTGGCTGTTATAGGTCAGCCATCTTGGAATTATCTTGTCAATTCACACACCCAGTTAGGCAGTCAAGGAGAATATTCCAAATATTAAAAGATTATATGAAAATCAGTTGAGAATAATTTAAGGGGAATAAATCCTTATATGAGGAACTAAATCTCTTAAAATTTGCCAGGAAGGAAAAATAAATGGGGGAGATGACTACTATGCTGAGCTGGATTATATTGAGGTGATGGAGAATGCTAAAGAAGGATATGAAGAAGAGGCAACCAATCCTGATGATGATAATGGAAACAATTACCAGCCTGATGATAGAAATTTGGGTAAGTGCTGATTTAAGTACTTCTAAAATATTTTTCAGCGATCTTAAGCCACCCATAGGACAAGAGGTAAGCACTGTATCCACTGGTCGGTGTGGTAAAGATGTATGTTGGGCATAAAACTTATGTACAAGGAAGAAAATAAATGGGTAAAATCTCTAACCAGAATACAAGATATTGTATGGGCACAGGAACCTGAACAGCAGTGGGAATGCCATATTGCTGAAAGAACAGGTGAAGGAGGTTCTCAACTGGATGCCATGAGATTTAAAAAAAGCGGAAAAAGAGAAGGCGCTAGATGGATAGATGAAATCAGGAAATTTGCCGGTCCTCAATGTGCAGAAAAGGCTCATGACTGGAGATTGTAGAAGCTTAAGGGGGAGAGGCCTTCATCCACCATTGGATATATCCCTGCCCTTGCACAACTGACTACAGACCAGCTCGTGCATTTCATTTTGTCATAGAAAATTCTCTAAGAGATAATTTCTTGACTACAGGATCGGACTCCAACGAAAGTGATGGTTTCTACAGTGAGAATGAAGTTGACAACCCCAAAGAGGATCACGACTTTAATCAGCCATCACACATGAGAAAAGTTGGAGTTGCAAAGCGGGAAAAGTCTGCTCGTCTTCAAGAACGTGCCAAGCGCAAGAAAACTCTACTACCAGATATTGGTACGTAATACTGACCACAGTGGAGTCGCGATAATTTTCAAAATACAAATTCACGTTCATAAATTCGCGGGTACTGTACTACCTCTTTTATTTTCGCGGTCGAATGTTCCGAATTCACGTCTTGTTTATTTACTTAAGAAACCATAAAAATTTTGGAAATATCATTTAAATGCTCTTATGTGACATGATATAAAGAAAATATAATATAAAACTATAAAATAAGGAAAATGTGAAGTGGGAAGTGAATTCTGTGTGGGAAAGGTGGTGGGAGGTAGGGCTGGTGAGTGGCTGGACTGAGAGGACAACTCCCTTGACCTCTTTAACACATCATTATGCAGTTTCACCATACTTCCCATAGTACTGTATATACTCAAGTATAGTGCGAGTATTTATGATCAAATTTTTATGCAAAAACTATACATATACTGTATGTGTAGTATTTTTGAGTGATTAAAACTCATGCATTTCTTTGGATCGTTTATGGTGAAAGATAGCTGCGTGGTACAGTACAGTACATGTACACAGTAGGGTGACCCTACCAGTAAGCTCCTTTAACCTGGGTTTGCTTTCCATACCTTTAGATTCTTTCTTTATGTTGTTACACAAAGAGCAGAACCTCATTCACTATACAGTATGCCACTTTAAATCTACAAAACCTGTTACAAATGAAGATTTGTGGATAATTTTCTTTTTGTTTGCTTCTGTTTACATCGCTGGTGGCATTGTTGCCAACATAGACTCATCACTGTAGTCACATCCCCTTAGCCCTTTTTGCACCTAGGCTGAGCTGTGAGCTATGTTATAGTTATTTTTCAGTTCATAATTTTGGGTTTATGTACGTAATTTTCATATTTTTTTACTCGGTTACATGCAGAATGTGCAGTGAAAAATGAACGAACTAATTATCATACAATAAAATAACATAACTTCGTATGCAACAGCACGCTCAGCGGGTAAAGGGTGGGGTCAACAGAGTGTGGGATCTTAGCTGTTCTGAGCTGTTTCCCGTGTGTAGTGAAATGATTGACAAATACTTCATCGCCAAGCAGCCAAATGACAATGCCATATTTTATTTATTTATTTTTTTATTTATTCTTTACATTTAATGGAACAGTACAAGTACTGAATTATATTATTTTATAATATTCCTCACAGTTGAATATCTTATTCATAAAACATTTTGATAATATCCACCATAATGTGAATACCTGTACAGTAATTACAGTACAGGATGTACTGGTAATAAAAAATATTTAAATTTTGGTGCCTTTACTAAAGTTTATTTATACAGTAGGGTATAATAATAATATCCTTGGAAATTAACATTAATTGGGAGCATTATAAAGGGACATCCGACCATTATTATACTGTATATCTCCCATGGCACTGGGGGGAGGGAGAGAGGCAGTGTCCCAGCTGGGGGCTACACTAACTTCAATAATTTTTTTTTTATTTCATTACTTTTTATATGTTTTTGTTATATATGCCTACAATATTAAGTTTTGGTGTTACAATATACTGTTAAAGCTACTCTTAGGGATGAATCTAGCAAAATTTATGAATAGGAGTTGGTAACTCTGGTGGGAATTCAGTTTCAGAGTTGTTAACACTGTTCATTGCATCAGCTTTTGTGGTGGTGGTCAGAGCCAAGAAATGTTGGTGAATCTGGTGTCTTGCTACAAAATATGTCTAGGATTATACCTGGTGTTTCTTAAAAACTAGAGTCAAATTATACACAAAGTACGTGAAAAAATCAGTACTGTATTTTTTTTTCCCCCAAAATCAAGGTTCACGTTATACATGAGATAGTCTTATATATGAGTATATACTGTACAGCACTTAGGTTCATTTGGAGCCGGGTTAATAAAACAGTCTGATTAAATAATCAATTTTATGAGAATAAAAAAATCCCACACTCAACCCCAGATGGGCTATTGCGTCGTATTAGTTCCCAGTGCTTTGTTTATGGAATGCGATTGGTTGACCAGCGAGGCGCCACCAGTCCCATCCAGTGACATGCTGCTTGTCTCAATGTTGGTGTATTGGTGTCACCCAGAGGATGATTATGAGAGAAGGAACTGTATGTAGTGTAGAACTACTTTTTGTACAGTATCTTTTGATTTATTATGTACAATGTTTTGTGTTTATTAAAGCAGTTTTGATACAGTTTGTATATTTGTTGGCATCCAGAACCAAATTACTGGTAATTATTTCCATTTAAATCAATTAAATTATAATTCACAATATGATAATTCACGGTCTTCTGGAACCTAACCCACGAATTATTGCGACTCCACTCTGTTCTGCTTGTAGACAAGGTCAATGAAAAAGAATGTTTGAATTTTAATATACAGTATAACCATTTAAAATCAGGACATACTATTGCAATGCCCCTGTATAATACTGTAGCGCATTTTAGCCCTTGTACCCTGTACCTCCGACTATTACTGTATCATAATAATACTGACATCTACTTCATGTTCTTTTGGCTGTAGCTGAATTGAACATTTTTTTTTTAATCAGCTACTTTTTTTTTTTAGAAACATATAAATATTGTTATTATAAAACAATATATATTTGTTTTATCATTTTCCAATGCATTTTTGTTTTAAACATACAGTATGTACATGTATATGTTAGTTTACTGTAATTAGTATAAAACAGAATATATTTATTAGTTATTTTTATGCATGTGCAGTATGTATTTTACTGTATATTTTGTTTAATGGTGACTGTCACTTGTATAGGTAAGGAAGATGGTAGTGGGTCAGGCTCGGCTGCTGCCTCAGATGAAGACAACAATAAAAAAAACAAGAAAAAGGAAAATGGAAAAAGTCAAAAGAAGAGAGCAGAAAAGGAAGACAAAAAAGATGATAATATGAATAAGAAGGAGGAGGAGAAGGAAGAAGAGAAAAAGTCTAATGAAGCGGCGGAGGAGGAGAAAAGAGACGGGTCAGAGTCTTCGGATGGTTTAGATGATCAATCAGATGAGGGAGAAGATGAGGCTGGTAAGAGTAGACAGTGGTAACGTTAATGTCAGCATAGAAGGAAGTAAAAAAAAGTCATATGTTTTTGCTCTAAGTTTGCCAATAGTAATGTATATTAATAACAGTATTAAAAAAATGAATACCGTACCCACTTTGAGATACTGTATCACTAGGAGTTAATTCGTTTCTTTTTGAACTTACATATTTATATTTTTTTTTTCCTAGACCTAACTGAATATATTCACCCCAAAGTCAAAGTATGGAAGTTATTTTGTTTGCTAGAGTCAACCCATTAACTGCCCGTCTTTCTTAATCTAATTAATGGATGTTTTTCTCCCTAAGTGATTGCCTGAGAAATCTTTTTTTTTTTCCTGCAAATCTGTTTCTTTCCCCGTGGACATTATGACTCTCCTGGTAACCCATACAAAATATCTTTAAACCTAGGGTAGTTCTTTACTAATTTACACCTTCAGTGAAGCATTAATCCTTTTATCTCTGCCCTGATCTTTCCCCAATGATGCTGTGTGAGGGGCTGAGGTAATCCTGCCTCTGGTGCAATTTATTATCAGTTTTCCCGTTATTTTTGTCAGATGAGAAACAGCGGCGGCCACAGACTTTTGTACCGAGTCAGTTATTAGCCTCGGCCAATGTGGTTAGACCAAACCAAAGTGTCCGTGATTACTTTGGCAAGGATGAAGCTGTATACATCATGGATGCCAAGCACACTGGCAACATTGGCCGCTTTCTCAATGTAAGTATGTTATGCACCTTGGGGTCTATGTTTATCACCAAAATCTTCCAGATTGGTTTATAGGGTCACTAAATTGACAATTGTGCCCATCTCTGGAACATAGTAAACAGGTAATACAGAGCTCAAAAGCCTTAGTATCCTGTAACTTATTAATTTTAATTTCCATGTATTCCACATCCACAACATTCTCCTGCAGCATAGTCCCGGCAGAAACCATTGATTTGTGTTATACGGAGCTCCTGGGAAACCAGTGTTAGATATACTATCTAAGGTGTTCATCAAAGGGATTCTTTTATTAAAAAAAAAAATTCTTCACAAATCAAAATGCTGATATTTTCAGCCCCTTGGTCATAATTTTTGTAACAAATTAAATATATATATATTACAGAGTTTTTAAAGTAACATGAAGAAAATGTGCATAGTTAATTGATTGATAATGCTTATTTTTCCCCAGCATTCCTGTGAACCCAACGTGTTTGTCCAGAATGTCTTCGTGGATACTCATGACCTTAGATTCCCCTGGGTTGCATTTTTTGCCATAAGTAACATCCGGGCAGGCACAGAACTGACCTGGGATTACAACTATGAGGTTGACAGTGTCCCGGGCAAGGTCAAGTACTGTTACTGTGGGGCAAGAAAGTGCCGAGGAAGATTACTCTAATGTGTTTTTCTGATACTGAAGCTCGTTAAAAAAAATAAAAATACATAGCAGTGTATCTCCTGTGGTGCTTGAAGTATTATTGAAGATTAAATTAACACTGTATAATTAATCATTTTGTTCAGCCTCAAGAATCTACAATGCTTGAGACTCAACTCTCCAGATTTCTGATTTTTCTGGATACACTTTATGTACTTATAGGCAGCCTTACTGTTGGCAGGTTTTTTTTAACTAGTTTTCAATCAGTTTTGAAACTGTTTGGGTTTTTCTGTAATCATTGGTCCAGAAATAAGACTGTTGTTGGCAATACCACTCACACATCACTTTATCATGGTCCACAGATTTTGTAGTGTTGATACTCAGAAATTCCTTTGTTTGTGTCACTTTCAGCTTGCACTTTATTTCCTAGAGTAATCACTTGGCATTGATTTCTTACTAGATGCCATAGTGAGGGTAAGTTAAATGTGAAATAAATAAAAATTCTTGGAGGTACTGTGAGCTTCCTCCTGCTGAAGGTTGACGAGGACTGGAACCTCTCAGAATATCTAAGATGGGCACGCAGTTGGAAATCAGGAAGCACCACTGATGTCCTACACCCACTCCTTCTGAAACTGTCCTTTAAAATTTCTGAAGATTTTTCAGAGGTCGAGAACAGCAGGAATCATGATTAAATTTTATTTTGTTATAATGTTTGAAGAATAATGTGCGCTTAATACCTTTACTAATGTGCACTGACAGATTTCTAAATGGCAGGTTGGGGGAGGGGTGCACTTGTAGATCCAACTGCCAGTAGGGTGTTCAGTTATTAAAGAACATTAAAACACCCAGGCTTTCATGTTAGAGGACTAATGATATATAAAAGATTCAATATAAACATTGTATTTCCTTTAATATATTGTAGTGCCCCCTCATACCCATCAGTCCTACTGTATTATTGCAGTATTTTGATATTTTTATGAGCAAAATAGGAGGAATTTTAGCATGACTGTTCATTGCTACAAATTTTCAGATATAAATATAAATTTGATTGTCTTCATTTATACCACAATAGCTAGTCCTATTTTGTCCAAGATTTATGAAACTTCCAAAAATAAAGTAAATCCTTTTTAAATGCAGTTTATTTGCAAGTTGATATACCTCATTATAAAATGAAAGTTTGATCTGTACCAAGTGTAAAGCTAAAAATATTTTCCAGAATTATTGCCTCAAATGATTTTACAAGGTTGGTTAGATATATTTTCTGGTCATACCAAATATGTGGCTTTGCAAATGGTCACTAGTTCAGTTACCAACTGGACTGGAACATTGGGTTACCCAATATGTAAACTATACAGTACCCTCATGCACTCGACAAATTATTACACCATCAGGTGCACAAGCCAATGGGGGTACAGTCCTTCAGTGAACTAGCATCCTGCCAAGGAGATGGAATACAGTACCCCACCAGTTTGTGAATGCTAGGAATTAGATCAGCACCTACCAAGCAATATTGCATCGTGGCAGGAAAACGTGCTTGGAAAAAAATTACTTTGCGAGATCACACTTAAAAAAACAATATTTCATGTTAAGTTTTAAGAATAGGTACAATTGGCCACAAACCTTAACCTGAAATATTACAGTACCTTATTACTCTATCTGCTTTCTCCAAAATCAAAGGAATTCTACCTTGGCCAACTCGGCAACCAAAATTCACAAAAATAATTTTCTTATTCTCATTTGTTCTCAAGCCAAGGTGAGCTGTGACCGTTGTCAGTGAATTGCTTTGCTAAAATCATTGCTTGTTTTACTGGCTAATACCTGACCTGCAAATACTGCTGTTTACTATTAATTGTAATGAAAAACTTTGTATCCCAACACATGCTTTATAAGTCGGAAAAAGAGTAGATAACAAATTTAGAACAATTTTAAAATACTGTATAACTGAATAACCAACACTCAACCTTCCAATAAGTTTTGTGAAATGGTGTGCCAGTTTTAGCTCCCCAATGGTGGGACTGTATAGTATTTGTTACTTGTACAGTATTTAGACATTTGACCTATGGAATTACTGTTACCCCTGTTTATCCATATTGTTTCTACAATACCTGTATTTAGTAAGTTAAACTCATGATTAACAATATCACTAATGCTAAACAAATTGAGTATTGTACTGTACATGATACTGCAGCTCCAAAGAAAAAATCACTCAGACTTATAAATATCACCAATGTGGACAATACCTTAGCTAATGATGGAAGAAATGATAATGATACAAATATTGGTGTCTGTACTTGGCTAATAAGGGAGTGAGCACCATTCTGAGGTACAGTACATTCAATGTTCTCTTTGAAGAGTCATTGTACAGTCACAGATTGTGATCATTCATAATTCACATACGACATGTGTTCTTTACTTGTGGTCATCCACTATCAAAGTTTTACTACTTATAGTCTCAAGATATCTGCAAGGTTCAAGTTCATGATACAAATACTATACAGTAAATATGTACAACCCTACCATTTTACGAGAACAGGAATTGCAGTGTTAATTTGAAATAAATAGAAACCCTCTGTAAAGATACTTTCTGGAACAAGTGTATACACCTACTGTTGAAGAAATGAAGGGTCATACAGTACAGTATTTGAAAAACCAGCAACACATATTTCTGAAATGTTTAGGGATGAAGACCAGTGGTTTTTAAATATACATACCTGTATATACAGTGAAGGGTCATTGGTGACCTGTATCATTTAAGGATTTTAAAATTTAAATTTTTTATTGATATAGGGAAGTTAGGCAGAAAGTTTGCAGGTTAAAATCTGCTGAGTATTGGTGTCCACTGTATCAGGTGACAGGATTAGTGTGGGGTACTGCTTGTTTGGTTCACACTCAGGATGGGGTGGAGAAAGGAAACTCACAATGTACTCTCTGTGTACATGTTGTATTGGATGTACAATGCAGCTTGGTGCTGGGAAGGCAGCATGGTTACAAGCGTTGAGTAGATGGAGCTGATTGGTGAGGATGCTCAGAGGAGGACCAGCTTGTGGGTCGCCATGCTCGCCGGCAGGAGCGAGGGCCGCCAGACAGGAGGAGGAGGAGGAGGTGTTGCTTGCTGGTTGGTGTAAGTAGAAAAGAGAGTGGTCACCACGAGGTCAGGTCTTATATAGCAGAGGTAGGCGTGGCTTAATAGTTGACCTCCGTCATGTAAGGCGGCGCTGGTTGACCTAGACCACGAGGCATACACTGGGGAATTCGCGGGGTTGGCTACTCAGCGACAAACAGCGTTTGTAGGGGAGGTATCCACAACAACAGTACTAACATGGAGACAATAAACAAAAAATTATTATAAAGAATTATAAAGCAATTAGCTCCAGTTCAGCTGCTTCATCATCATATGAGTGATTCCATAGCCTCACTCACTTCTGGAACCAAATTATTTTTATGATGTATCTTTAAAAGTAATTTTTGTTAATAATTTAGTTATTCCTGCAAACCTTCTCCTGGTGTATTGCAAAGTAGCTGCAACAATTACATCCCATTTGGATAATTTTCTTCTGGACGACTACCTGTTTTATGTAATTTAACCCAACTTAACCAAATCACTAAGTGAGATGGCTAAATCGCTTAAAATAGACGATTATCTAAGGAATAAGACAAATTGTCATTCATTCACCCAAAATGCTGTAACATTCCCATAAAGCACCCAAAGCAAATCTCTTCAATCATGTCCATCACCTCTCACTCATATTGCATCCTTCATATTATTATTCACTCTACTTGACTTTCCTCTCGACCCCCTACCATCTTCCTCTGATTTGTATATTCGTTTTAACCCCATATTTCAGTCTAATTTCTGCATTTCTTACTCTCTGTATTCCATTCAGTTCACACAACCATATTTCTCCCAAGTTTGTTATCTCTTTAGCTTCTAATTTGATTATTTTTCTTGTATTCAGAGTACATGTTTCATTCTAGTACAGTATAGTACAATAAACGCGACTCTCCTATTCCTACGTACTGTAACTACCATAGATATGTACGTTTGTCAATGAACCAGTTACTGATGGGTAAAGATACATCTAATATGCGCATGTGTGTGTGTGTGTGTGTTATATTAGTGTAAGTGCATGAATGTTGACATGACTCATATACGGTAATGTAATAATCAGTGTTATTGTATCGGAATCTTTACAGGTTTTAGCAATTCACACAATGCATGTCATGATTATTTGTAGAGCATAAAGCTGCTTTAATCCCGTGTCATTACTCCCTCTGGATACCAAAACTACCCAAAGTAAAACAAAAAACAAATTGGTGTCAAAACGCACTCAGGCTTTCTCTGTTATCTCTCTTTCTCAACACTTCGCTCTAAGTCATAATGTAACGCTTTATCTGTCAGGATAAAAGCATTCGTGAATAACATACTTTAACTTTAATAAGAGCCCTTTACTTTTCACCGAATTAGTACTCTTTATATATTTATGTATAGTTTAATTAGTTTTTATTACCACAATTACAGTGATTAATATATCCAAAGTTGAACCTCTCCCAGCCAACGTTACCAGTCATCATTTTTTCTCATTAATATTTCGAACTAAACTAACGACAAATAACACCCGCAATAGCGTATATTTTATAGTTTATGTCGATAATTATGAAAGATAAGAACATCTTAGGATTATAAAATTATTCGAAATATGGACTTAGACTTTGTTATGTTTGCTGAAGAGTATTAATGAGGTGGTAATACTGCGGCTTTGGACTCATTCTGAGATACGCGACGGCCTATGCCACGTCTCTCATGCCCACTTAATACACATATCACATTTAAATCCAAAAACGGACAATATAGATTCAAACTGAGCATTGTAACTGATATATAGCACAAATTAATTTATATTATAGTTGAAAAGGTTTGACTAAATATCGATGAATCTATTGTTGAGGTCAATACGCTGAAAAACGTGGCACCACTGCCCGATGCAGACTACAGCAAGATGGCTTTCCTGTGCCCAGTCAGAATTCGTCGGAACAAGAAAAAGAAAGGTAATATATATGATCTCTCACTTATAGATACTTCCATAATTTTTTCAGCAATATTTCGGATAATTTCAATTTGATTTAATGGATAATGAGGGCAATAAACGTTGGGGAAATGGCAGAAAAGAGGGTGGAAAGGAGTGACCCTCTTTCTGATATTTGGGTACTGGGGAGGTTCTGGCGTAAACAAACGGGAGAAGTTAATGTTTATCTTGTGAAATATAACCTATTAATATACCTCTTACCATCATACACCTATTGGATGTAAAATAGCATGCTGTCTCTACCCATACTTCGCTATATTAACCTTAAATATGAAATTGGTAGTTAATTATAAGGTATTTAGCGAGATAAACATTGGGTTGGGATGGGTTCATACTGCCGTGTTAAAATCCCTATCATGATGAAGACGTCTTAGAATATTATGAATGATGAGGAATGGTGGGATGATATTAGTATATGAATGGAAGATACACAGGGAGAATCATTTCCACAGTCAAAATTATATAACTTTTTACCACTTAAAGTTTGTTGCTAAGTACTTCATCTGTTTGCGATGTTTTCAAGTAACTTACACAAATACTTTATAGTCAGCTTATTTATACAGATAATCAACTGCCAGTATTAATGATATGGTTCACGCAACTTTTATTAAAGTATTGAATATAAAAAGAGCAAATTATAACCATTTACTTAAACAAACTACTACCTATCTCAGTTTGCAGCCATTTTGAAATTAGGAAAAAAGTTAACTACTATGAAGTTATGACAGTTTCCTCACGTGACCAGTGTGACCTTGACACTTCTCATTATCATTCAATGCTCTCTAAGGCTCTTAACTTACTATGGAAGCTGATGGCAATATTTTGATAATACTGAAACTAACAAATGGCTAAATTTAAATTTTTTGAAAAAAAAAAAAAAAAAATAAGGCTTTTGATGAAATTACCGAAAATCTCTGCAAAATTCTAAGCAAATTGATGACATGCACCTGTGTTAAAAGAAGTGACATACAGTGTAATTTGAATTGTTTTAGGGAGTCAATTATTGTTTTTTGCCGGCCGAAGAATTGGTCAAAATTGAAGTTTCATTGAATAATGTTTATATCACCGCAACAAGTGCCACTTAGTAATCTCAAGGTAGCTAATTCATTTTGTTCTTTTCTATGTAGCCATATTTGCTTTCTGTGCATTAAAAAAAAACTATGGTAATATACCATATTAGTGCTGGTCCGTAACTCCCCAACTCTAAGGCATATTGATAAAGATAAATGCTTATGAAAAGACCAAAAAGTGCTTTAGGAATACATTTACCATAATACAGTACTGTATCATTATTTGAGATTTTTACGGGCCAGAGGCGTGGTCGACAAGGTTCCCTTTGTTCACTATGTTGGCTTCTTGTTCGAAGAATTAGAATGTATTTTTTTTTGGGTGGGGAGATTAAAATACAAGATATCGCTAATATAATAAGGTTAGGTTTAGTGAGTTAGGTTAGGTTTGGCAGATTAGTTTGGTTTATTTTATGAACATAATTATTGACAATCAAACTCAGAAACTGCTGGGAACTGTTAAAATTCCCAAAGTAGATGCAATTTGCTGCTACATTCTAACCTAACCTAAAACAATTGGTATCTTTTGTTTTAATATCCTAAATAAAAAAGTAAAACATTAATTGAAAAGAAGTGTTTACTCACAGAGAGTAAACATGGTTGGCAGAGGGAGGTTGGCCGCATCTTCTCAAACAAGATGTAAAAATAAATTAAAAGTGATATAATGCAAATCGTATTCCTCCTGGACTTTTTGGCCTTTTCATGAGGTAAGAAAATATTTATATTCTATGGTGATATGACCTATAGCTGGTAGCTAGGGAGAGATACTTATATAGGCTATTACCCAAACCTCTTTAAAAAAAGTCCATAAGAAAAAAATCCTTTATTAAGGGAATGAAATTATACTTCAAAATTACCACAGCTCACTTCAGTATTACCATATTCTTATCAGAATTCTTTTTCATATAACCTAACAAAGACCTCAGTAGATAATTTACTTACCATAAGCCAGTTTAATTTTCAATATTTCACATTTCCTAGTGAATTGAAAGTTTCTGCCATTACTATACTGAGATTATTACATTTTTGCAGTGGCTGGATAAACAAAGATGTGGTCAAGTTACATAATATTCACAAATAGCAAGTACAGTAAACCAACTCTGTTTTGGGGCAACATAATACAAACCATGACTGAACTAGTACAGTACAGTATGGTTTTAAGAGGAAAGGACAACAGAGCATTCCTGAGAAACAAAAGAAACAGTTCTGTAATAATTGAGATCAGTGGCATTGTTCCTGCTAAAGTCAGACCAGGTTAACATTTTTTTTTCACCGCTAATCAGCTTATTAGCCATTGGGGTTGTAGGTCTATCCAGTGTTAGTATTGCAGTATTATTAGTGCTGATATTGCCGAGGGTATTAAGGAACTGTAGATAAATGCCTGAATTAACCCTGTGGTTCTGGTGCAACTGAGTAAATTATTTATGGGTTAATATTAAACTTCAATTTACATTTTATGCCACAAATATACTGTATAATATACTGTATACTCTGAATCTCAGTAGTTGCAGCATACTATATTAGGCTCCGACAGCATATTTAAACTCTGAAGGATTAGTTGGTGCAAAGATGGTAGAAAATTTTCAATAGAATCCCATCTCTCTTTGGGTCAAGTGATTGTGTTTGGGTTAGACATGATATACAGTACTGTACTGTACTATCTTTGGGTTAACGTAGGTTGGATTTAGTTTGGAATAAAAAACATTTGCCCCAGATATTTTCCTTGTTGCAGCTTAATTTCCTTGATGAAGTGTGTGTGTGTGTGTGTGTGTGTCTGCATGTTTATGTATAAGAAATTCATATTATTGTACATTGTATTACTTTTTTGTGATTTATATGACAAATGCATCATATTTTGGGGGCAAAATCTATCTGCTGTAAGAGTACAGTGTTAAACAAAAGTATTATTTGATGAATTATTGCATTTCTAAGATTTGAAAATATTTTGTAGGGTACAGTTTTATATACTGTAATTTGTTCTCTGTTAAGTTTACAGTACGGTACTTATACAGTATAAAACTTTTATAATATTTTTTCCATTACAAATAATTATTATTCATAACATAGATAATGTCAGCAACATAGATCATTTAAAGGGTGTAGGGGTAAACAAAAGAATCAGCCTTAGCTTTTAAAAATGATCGCTGAAATTCGAGTTGATTGGTTGCCTCACAACACGGGTTTGTTCCTCAGGGTCTGGGGGGTACGTGTCGGAGGGGGAGGAGAAGGTGGTGCGCGCTCCTGGGCTCGGTCGCATCACAGGCTCTGCTTCCATAGAGACGCTGGTGCGGGTTGGCTTGGAGAAGGAGGCAGGCCTCTCCCCAGACAGCAAGATGGTGGTCCTCCATGACTTCACGCCGTGTGTTGACGATGAACTGGAAGTGAAGAGGGGTAGTGTGAGTTATCATACAGTATTTGCTTATTTCAAGTTTTCATTGGATACATTTCTGTAGAGAGTAAGCAGCTTTATTAGTTTTAGTTTTTTAATCCTCCTTTTTCTTGTTCTCTGCCTGGTATTGTATGGTGATTCTCAGCACACTCTATGCACATATTTGTACTATATCCACACTCGGTTCATATCCAGATCAGTGACATAAATGTTGTTAGTTTACTCATGGTCACTATTTTATTTTGCCATCACATCTGTAGCATCATGACAACTAAGATACCTCCCATGTTTGAGAGTTTTCCCCGCCATATCTCCATGAGTGATACTCCAGTAGGTGTTGGTGATGTACTGGAGTGACCCTCTCCAAAAGCTTACTCTTATTGCTCACTCTACTTAACCAAAACTAACCCACATTTTGCTCCACCTTGCCATTAGACTTATCCTGCAAATGCTTTATTTTGGGGGGGTTCTTAATTGGTTCTTGTTGGTTTATAATTTAGAAAATCTTTATCTTGCAACTAAATTTACTTCATCATTAGATTGCTATTTATACTAACAATTAATTTAAGTTTATTTTTTTGCATCCAGTAAGCATATGCAGTTAAATATTGTCACATTATACTTAGGAGCCCCTTAAATTGTTGGTTTATTTTCAGGTTGTAAATGTACTTTATCAAGAGAATGACTGGGTATACGTTATAGCCGAGCACGGCCAACAAGAAGGCTTCATTCCTCATTCATATTGTGCACCTTATGGCTCTCAACTTGGGGAGCTGACAATGAATCATAAAGTAAGTTCATTTTCACTGTTGCTTGTTGGTTGGTATGAGTTAGGATTTTACTGTCAGGGTAAACTTAGGATCTTATGGCTGTTTTATGTGATTCACTCACTATTCAACTAAGTCATGGGGTCAGAACCCATGTAGCCTCTAGTGTGGCGTCTGGTAGTAACCCGTTGATTAGTATATCTTTCATCTGAAACTGTAACCCTTCAAAATCTGGAGTTGCCACCTCACTTGTTGGCTCTTAGCTGTGGTCCCAAGATCAACTCGTCAGTTTTAGTTGCCTCGTGCCACAGTGAACATTTTGGCACTTCATACACTGTCACCATTGGTAAAAGCAAACTGCCTACATCTATTTTTTTTAACACTTGTTAGGTTTATTAACTCCTTATGTATGGCCACCTTTGTATTGAATAAAATCGTATGATGTTAACCAAATAAAATATTAAAAGTTGCATCCTTGTAGTGCAGGGGTTAAAGGTTGAGCGACACAGTGTTGGCATTTTTATCATGGTAAGGCAAGTATTCCTTTAGTTTACTTTGTGTTGTAAATATTTGTTAATGTTTGTTAGTGTCCAAATATGGATTCACTGGTGGGTCAGTGTGAGACATGACCCAAGCTGTAATTCAGTCTCTTGTAAAACAATTTGTTCCCTGGAGCTAGGTATCTGGGACAGTTTGTTGGCTGGAATGGGGGTATAGTACTGTATCTAGTTCAGTATTCAATGTTTTATCCACTCCTTCTCTAATGGGTTGTCAGACATGCCTATAGGTCCCCATTTCACTTTCATACAGGTCTTCTGTTCCACCACAGTCACCCACACTGAGGATATATTGAGTGTCAAAGCAGATTCCTTGTCAAGAAATAGTGATGCCATCTGAGTATATGTTAACAAAGTGTTTCTTTTATTTTTATAGTGTATCATTCTTCCAGTTGGTGGCTTGCTAGACAGTTGGTCTGTTCTTTCTATGACCTTCTTTGTCCAGTGTTAATACAGGAGGGAACTGGAGTATTTGGAGAAAACTTACAATTGTTGGTAGGGTCACACTGGATAACACCCTTCTTACACTACTGCTGTAGTACAGTATATTTGGGGGTCAACTGGCCAGAAGTAGACATATTTGCAGCAATGTACAGTTATAAGCAACGAAATTTACAGTTTCTATTCTTCAGTAAGGAACTGTAAGGAATGGGAAGGTAAATTAATTTGTTGTCATTAGTCCTAACTTCCTAATACTAAGAGACAAAATGGATACACAACCCTGAGATGTGTCGCTCAGTTTGGTGAGGAAATTGAGAATGTTTCAGATACTGTACTCTTGATTTACATAATGTTGATAGTTATTTGTCAATGGGGTTGAGGATTATATGCCATATGAGTTTTAGGTTTTAGAATGTGTAACGATTCTCTCTGCTTCAGAAAAAAATGCCTCGGGAACATAATTCAATGGAAGGTGGCGGAGGGGGTCTAGACACTGACCACAATACGACGATAGGCACAATCAACTCAGGTGGCACAGGTAAGGTTGTTTATTGAAGGGGGCACTGGTATGGTACTAATTGAAGGGGACACAGGTAAGGTTGTTAATTGAAGGGGTCACAAGTATGGTATTAATTGAAAGGGACACAGGTATGGTTCTAATTGAAGGGGTCACAGGTAAAGTATTAATTGAAGGGGTTACAGGTATGGTACTAATTGAAGGGGTCACAGGTATGGTACTAATTGAAGGGCTCACATATGGTTGTAATTGAAGGGGGCACAGTTGGTGTGTATCTTTGGTGGGTGAATGGGGGGGGGTAATATTTTTGGCCCTTGATAATGAATGACAGTTTGTGGTGATGGAGAAACACTTAAGTCACCTAATATTGAATGGTGGGACCTCTCCTCCATGGGTTGTGGTGTCACGCTTGTTAGGTTATTAAACACTCGTTGCATATCATCTAACTAACTCGTTTTTTCCTGAACTACGAGATTAACTTGCTTTCTAGTTTTCAAATGATTCAGACAATACACAATTATTTTGATATTACATGTACTCTGACTTTTTATGGGGTGTAGCTGTAGGTTCATTTAGTTACTTCGCATATTTTTCTGAAGGTCTGTATATGTATGACACTGTATTTTGCCCTCAGACAATCCTGGCCTCGTGGGTTCAGATAATGAAAGTTATGGTGGGAAGTTAATAGGGGGCCCACCTAATAGAACATCAGACTCGTCCATCCAAAGTGGTACAGCTACGCCTGATATTCACCCTTTCTTTAAGGTATGTTATGACACCTGTTACTTTGTAAGAGTTGCATGGATTTTACCTTTTATATCTTGTTTGTGCTTCAGTAATTGCTAAGTGAAGGTAATATATAATGCCATTTTTATTTTATGTTGCTTTTTATATATACTTGTATATATACATCAGTATCTGTCTCTTTATTCCTGGAGTATATGCAAGTACTGTATAAATTTCCATTCTTATCTGCATTACATTTGGTTTTGTGTAAATTATTGAAATATTTTACCTTAACAGACATCCCAAAGTTCCTATATTTAACTTCTATTCCCAAATATTTTAACTATAACAGGGTTTTTATATTTTGCCAAGAGGGTCTTGGGACTCCTGCTTTTTCATATTTCACAAGTACAGTACAGTACTAATTTCATTACTTATAATATTTTCGAAATTATTCTGCACCATTTTGTAAATTCATTACCAAGACGAACTTCATTTTAGTAATATTAATTAAAATAGCATTACCCCATGTATTTATTCTTGATCTTATCTCTTGCCCTCTAAGGATCCTGCTGGCAGGTACATCGTCCTATACACATTTATCGCACGTGATGAAAATGATGTGAGTGTAGAACGAGGAGAGTTTGTAACAGTGCTAAATCGTGAAGACCCTGATTGGTATTGGGTGCTGAGATCAGACGGGCAAGAAGGTTTTGTACCGTCTGGTTTTGTGTATCCGGCTGATGTAATACAAGGTGGGTGGGGTTACTGGGCTGACTCTCTATGTTAAAGTTTTAGTGTCAGAATAGTCTCCAGTGTTAAGTAAGCTCAGTTTAAATCCAGTTTATTGTAAAATCTCTGATCAAGTTCTGTCATATTGAACTTTACAATTGGATGTTCAGTACTGTACTTGAAGTTGAAGTCAAAATGATCACTGTACAGAAAGTGTGGAGACAATGCCATATACTGTACTGCCCTGATTTATATATTGAAAAGGTATATTTGATGTAGGTTGACCGAGGTTTATTTTTTATATATTTCAGATCACCTGGAACAAGGTGGGGGTACGACTGGTGGGGGAGGTGGGGGGGTCATGGTGGGCACGATACATGGTGGACTGGGAAGTGTTGGGGGACACCAATTGGGTTATGGGGCTTCTCAACACCACATAAACCCTGGAAACAGCGATGATCTTCGGTTTCATGGCTCAGAACTTGTCATGCTCTATGATTATAAGGTATGTACCCATTTATATAATTTATTTCATTAATTAAACTGGTATGTTGGAGCTAATTTTATTAAAATTTTAATATTGAAGTAAAATGACAAACTGTACATCATTGTAAATAATATGTTCTCCCAGGAGGACATGTTGCAAGGGATCACATTAGTGTGGGGCTTATGTATGCTGTACAGCATTGGTAATTTTGATTGTGTTATCAGAGTTTTGATCTGCATTATGTGAGTGTATTCTGGCCATTACAGTACAGTATATACTTTAGCTGTTTGATGGTAGGTTTTTACAAAATAGGTTATTTTCTAAAGTTCAGGTACTGTACAGTACAGTACAGTATAGTATAGTATATTGTCACTACAGGCTTACCAGTATGATATTTATCCTAGTGTTTAATTGGGAGTACCCTGTACAGTAATTGATTTATTGAAACAATTTATGATCGGCTACAACCAAAGTGTGAACTCTGGAATAATCTGCCATAATGTGCTGTTATGGCACCAAGTGTCACAGTGTGAACTCATTTAAGACTAGACTTGACCAATACTGATGCAAGTTGAGATACTTTCTGGAACCAGTACTTGCCAACAGTGTGTAACAGAGATGTGATTGACTACCCAAGCAGCTAACAGGCCAAGCAGTGGCAAGGAGAATAAAATAGACTTGGTGACTATACAGAGTTGCTTGACAGTCCTGAATCAATTTTACAGCGGAATTTCAGCTTCAATCCTTCAATTTTGAAAGCACGTTGTGATACAGTGCTTGTGTTTTGGAAATTCAGGTACAGTACAGTATTTTCTTTTAGATTAATAGTTTCTGTTTATATGTAAGTGGATGAAGTCGAAAGTTGGAATTTATAAGGTTCATGCTATATTTTTTAATTTCTTTGTAGGCACAAGCCCCAGATGACCTGTCTGTGCGTCGGGGGGACTGGATCTATGCCGACTTGACCAATCAAACTGTAGATGGATGGTTATGGGCGTACGCTCCAAAGACACGAAAGTATGGCTTTATACCAAAAGCTTATGCCCGTCCTCCTGCAATGACGTCCCTATAGAGGATGTCAGTGGTGTAAATACGATTTTCTGTGAAGGAAACTGTGTTTGTGATTTCTATATATGACAGAAAATATCAAACCAGACTAGAGTGTTGTCAGGGAGGTGCCTAATGTACAGATGGCAGTCCTCGGTGGTTCCTCTAGCGAGACTGATGCAGATACAGTGATTTGTCTTTATACATTATTGTATAGAAAATATATTTATCTGTTTATACCATAATTTCATTAATGCTACTCACAATTATTTAAATACACTAGGATACGTCATTTTATATTTAGCAGGAGTTGTGATTCGGTGTTGTAAATGCCACCTGTGCCAAATATGAAGTCAACTTGTCCATTTGTAAGCTTTCCTCTTCGATACATTTTTTTATATTTAATTTGTACCTCTTTCCTTTTATATATTTGTACATGACATTGTTAACCTTTAAACAAGTTAGATATAATATATTTGTTGTTTGTTTTGAATTATTTTCCCCTCAACAGAGACGTGACCAATCGCCCAAGCGGCTAACAAGCCAATCAGTGGTGAAGAGGATAAAAGTAAAAGTAAAAAAAAGTATTTTTAATTAGGGAGCCTTGAACTCCTTGCATAAAGTCTGGTGCAGAGGGTAAAAGTAAGAGCGGTGCACCTGTCTTAAGCTTGGTTGTAAGGGGGGTTAAATTTTTAGAGTGTAAGAGAGATAAGTCTAGTTATCTTTTCTTTAGTATTTATAATTTAACATTTTCTCTTTCTATTTTCTGTCCTATTATATATCTTATTTTCTCTATGTGCTTCTATTTATATTATTGTATTTTCTATGTTATTTCTGTCTAATATAACCTTTTCTTCTCTTAGTTATACAGTATTATTTCCTTTTATATGTTTTTCTATGTTTTTGTTTCAGTATACTTATGACTGTACTTTATTTCTATCTGGTTATTTCCTGTGTTTCACTTTCCTTACTTATTGTTTCTTTCTTTCAGTGTCAATAATTTATTCTTGTATTTTCCTCTTACTTCTTTCTCTCATTTTCTTATCATACCTTAGTTTTATTCTAGTCAGTGGATTAACCTGGGAAAACCATGTCATTCTTATACAACACCTATTAAAGTAATTACTATACTTACACAGGTAGACTGCCACCACCCAAGCTTTTATTAGAATATAACTGATAGCAGCAACGAACTGTTAAGTAGCATGGTAGCGAGCCTAGGAACGTGAGTACAATATTTTCTGAGAAGCAATTATTAGAAGGATATGAGCGGTGATACTCGCAGTCTACTAGGTCAATATTTATTAACGGCAAGAATAAATAAGATGTCAATTTAACGCACTCGGACAAGACTGGACCACTAGGGCTTACTTTACAAGTAACAAAATAAATCTTCAATTATTTGTTATAACATTAAACAACTGTTATATTATTTCTTTGACAAATAAGATGGTTATTTTACACACTTGTCAACACCTCGTATTAATCCATCACTAATAACCTGATGTTATTTCTGAATGAACAATAAAGAACATTTACTAGCACTCGGTTGGTAATACATATGAATGATGTACTCGCAACCCACATAACAAACGTTATCACTGGTACTGAACTATCATTATTTATGAGCACAATACTCCTCTTTGGACAATTATATTTCTGCTAATTATCCCCAAACATGCATAACAATAATACTTTTGCCCATATAACTGTAATTATTACACCAGGGTCAGTCACTAGTGTTTGTTTACACACAAAGCCGCTGTGGCTCGGTTGCTAGTAGTGCCGGGTAGACGCGATGCCGTGGGTTAGCACGATGTTGGTGCAGTACTCGCTCAATTTAATCATGCCACATTAAAGACAGCCAGCAGGTATGCCACTACTGGTCCCACGGTAGCTGTCGGGTATTCAGCTACCACTCTGTGCCTGGAGTTGTGATGAGGAAGCGCCATAAGTGTTAAAAGGTCTAAACTCAATTGTTGTAAATTATGGAGATAAAAGGTGTAAAATTTTATTTAATTGTTGGTTTAAAGGTAAGTTTTCACAGGAAAAATGTAATGAGGATAAGGGACTTGGATGATCATATACTCTACTATTTTATCATCTTTACCACTGTTCAGCACGTTAGCCGCTTGGGGAGTTTGTCACGTCTCTGTTATGTACTGTACTGGTTCCAGAATGTATCTGTACTTACACCAGTGTTGGTCAAAGTCTGGTCTTGAAATAGCTTACGCTCGGTGCTGTCACAACACTCTAAGCGTTCACAATTCTCTCTTCGAAAAGTTCGCCCTTACAGTTTTTTGGACTTGCGGCTTCTTCAACCTTGAGTTGTGACCTCTTGTGGGGCAGGTGTCTGCCATCTCCAGTTTTGGACACGTGACTGAGTAGTGCCCTTTGAGAAGTTTATACACCTCAGTTAGGTCATCCCTTGCCCGTCTGTGGTATAAGCTAGGCAGTTGCAGGCGTTCTAACCTCTTTGGATAGCTGAAGTGCAGGCACCAGTCTGGTAACCCTCCACTGGACATTTTCAATCAACTGACAGCCCTAGCATATCTCAGGGACCAGACAGGGTGACAGTACTCCAGGCGGGGAAGCACCTCACTCTTGAAGATTGTTATGAGGGACGGGCCATCTCGACACCAGAACGAACTTTATTTTAGACTTAATAGTTTAGTTGCTTGATTCACCTTCTCACGATGGCCCGAGAATATCAGTTCATTTTCAACATGCACACCCAGGTTCTTTTTGCATTTGGTCTCCATTAAAGCTGTTTCTTTGTCCCATTCATACATGTGATATGCCTCTTTACTGTTGGTATGACCTAGGTGCATCCTTTTGCATTTCGTGATGTTGAATTTTAACAGCCATAGCTGGGAGAGATCTTTCTGTACCTCTTCACAGTCCGTTTGGGTCTTAATTAACCTGAACAAATTTACATCATCTGTAAACATTTGTATGGAGGAATGTACGAGTATAGCTTCTAGTACAGTATGTCATTTATTAAAAAAAAAACAATGGGCCCAGTACACTGCCCTGTGGTAACCCGCTTGTCTCTGGTATGCATGACAGTTTCATATCATTGATCATCACACACTGCTTGCAATCAGGAAGAAAGTCTTCGATCCACACTAGGACACCCTGAATTCCGTACCTTTCAAGATTAATTTTTTAACCTTTCGTGGGGTACGCTGTTGAAAGCCTTGGCAAAGTCCAGATATATACAGTATATACAGTATATCGTCAATTTTGCCACCACACACTAGGATCTGGGTCCCCACACCCAGCACCTTGAGTACATGCGTCAAGCAGGTGTGTACCAACATAAACCATGCTGGCATCTCTTTACTAGGTTGTTTCATAGTAGATGTTCCATCATGGCATCTCATTTAATGCTTTCTAGTCCTTTACATACTTTGGTGGTCATGCTCACCGGCCTATAATCATTTGTGGAATGGTGATATCCATTTGAATATTGGCTCAAATAGGTATTTTTCCTGTCTCTGGGTACCCTTTGTTCCTCCAGGCATTTACAGAACAGGGTCTTAAAGGCCTCGGCAAGCCCATTACACAACTCGTGCGACACTCTAGGATGCAAGCTGTCAGGGCCAGGACTCTTATGAACCTTTATCTTTGCCAATTAATTTCTTATACTGTCTTCTGAGAACACAGTGTGGGTCAGCGTTGTGTCGAACCATCTTTCCTCAAATGCAGGCTGGAAGATTGTTCACATCCTCTCGCGAATACTGAGGGAAAAATTTTTTTAACGCTACTGCCTTGTCTTGATCTGAGTGTGTAACTACCATTTTCAAGCCTCAGATCTGCCTGGTTTGTTTAACGGTCTACTTATATTCCCTGGAGCCAGTGGGTTTGGTGTTAGGTATATATTTATCAATCAAATACTGTTGTTCACTTTACTCACTATGATATTCAGCGTAGTATTTGCTTCTTGTATCTCGGTGAGCCAGGTCACTGAATACTCCTCATCCCATCATAATCGCTCTTGTAATATTGTACCTCGGCCTGTTTTTATCATAAATCAAGTAGCAGCTAAATCTGAAGGACAACATTACGTGGTGACTGGTGCCGATGGGGGCTTGATGTTCCGAATTGGCCACCATACCTTCCTCGTTAGTTCTGAGGCCCAGCGGTTTGGGTACTTGTTCCCCTCTGTAGTGAGTCGAAGCTTTAACACGTTAAAATAGAAAAATGTGTCGGATTTTCTATAAAAAGAGTAGCGGGATTATTAAGGTCATTTGGTGTATAGTTTCATTTCTCCAGCTGATGTTGCCATAATTAAAGTTCCCATGACAAGGAGGTGGCTAGGGTTGAGCGTCATGGCATTACCAATTAAGACTCTTAAGTTCCTTTGGTGTAATAAGCTATAATGTGGGGATCTGTAGATACATCCAATAATGAGTAAGTCTCTCCTCTATAAAAATTTTGCATCACTTGGATTCTTCAAAATCATCTTCCCCATGACGTATGGGACACAAAACTGGAAGTGAATTAACAGCGGCCGACTACGGTTTCGTCAGTAAATTATATTCCAAAGCTATCCCTCAGCAGGGGTAGATCTAGGAATATCGAAAGGGGGAGTCCAAGAAGTTGTGGGTGTGGGGAACACTGCGAGCACAGCTGTAAGGCCCCCAGAATTGTTTTGAAATCTGACCAATATCATGGGCATTTTGAGGTCTTTTGAAGTCCCGATAACTTGATATTAACATATTCTGAGGTTAATATAAATTATTTTTTACTATACAAAAACGCCTCAGTTCAATACTGCATTAAAGAAAAAGTATTTAAATTTTCTGGTGAACGGGTCGTCCGGACCCCCTGGATCCGCCCCTGCGCAGTCATGGTCTTGAGTACTGATGGAGCTTGAGTTGCTGTTAACAGGTGTTGACACAACTTTCCGTTTCATCGCGTCAGTGGGGAGTTGAAGGCTCGGCGTAGGGCTGCGAGCAGTGAAAGTGGCAGCCATTGAGAGAAACTCTGCTTCCTCTCTTACTGCGTCACTCGAGAGGGACACCTGGCTATTGGAGGAGGGGGAGATGAAAGAAGACGTGGTGGATGTGGGTAGTAAGACAAGGGAAAGAAACCAGGGAGCTTAAGTAAGAAGGAATAGAAATAGGCTGGACGGGATAAAGGGTGGGTAAGGTTGGTGTGAGCGAGGGAGAGGTATATGTAGAAAGGGAGTGGGATGAACGGTTAAATGGGTCGGGCGGGAGACGGAGTAGACCCAGTGGAGAAGAGTGGACGAGGAAAAGGATGCGAAAACTCGCCATACCTGTATAAACAAGTTACTCGTCAACTCTTGTTTTCTCTTTAGTGAACTAAAGAACAGGCATCAATATACTGTACAACTATTTTCTATTTTGTACATGTATCTTTCCCTATTCGTATTTCCCTCTCCTCACCCCGCGATAAAAAAGAAAAAAAATATTAATCACAGGAGAGAGATCACCCCCACGGGAG